TTTGGCGCCTGCCTTTGGCCCAGGGCGCATCCTGGAGTCCCGGGATCGAGTCCCGCGTCGGGCTCCCGGCATGGAGCCTGCTTCTCCCTCTGCCTATGCCTCTCTCTCTCTCTATCATAAATAAATAAATCTTTAAAAAATAAAAAGAGGCCTTTTTAAAAAAATTAGTCTAGGGGTAGGCATTAAAAAGCTGATATGGTAGCTCCACAGATATCAAAAACTCAGTTTCTTCTATCATTTCCATTCTCAATGACACTTAATGGTCCAAGATGCCTGCTGTACCTTTAGCCATAGTTCCATGTTCCAGGCAGGAATTAGGAGAAAGGGAGTAAATGGGAAAAAAAGCATTCCAGAAAGCTCCATCTCCTGACTTCTGTGTACAATTCATTAGCTACCACTACCTGTAAGAGGCTGAGAAATAAATTTTCAACTAGGTACAATACCTGAAGTTCTACAGGGAGAGTGGATATAATGTAGGTATCTGACAGTCTCTGTTATAAACATTTCTAGACAGGGTTCCAAAAACTATGACCAGCTTGTTTTGTAAATAAAGTTTCATTGGTATAGTCACACCCATTTATTTACCCATTATCTATGGTTGCCTTCTCACTACAGTGACAGAGTTGAGGGTCCTGATGGAGCCTACAAAGTCTAAAATATTTCTACTTTATCGAAAAAGTACACTCACCCCAATCTAAAAGATAAAGAACTCCTATTAATATGAAAACAATAAAAAATAAATGGATATGAAATATAAACAGGCAAGTCAAATACTACAAATATGTGCATCATCATCTATGGAACTCTCCAAACATAATGCTGAGCATAAGAAGCCAGATACAAAGAGTACATACAGATGATACCATTTATATGAAGGGCAATAATAAAAAAAACTAGTGACAAAGGTCAGAATAGTGGTTATTTGGGGGGTTGCAAGAGGTATCTAGGGTGCTGATTGTCTATATCTTGATCTGGGTACCATTTCTCTCTCTCACACACACACGATTTCTAAGTTGTGCAATTTTTTTTTCTGTCTAACCTACCCAATAGCAATCAGATACCTTTTTTTAAACCTAAAAGTCTGATTTAAAAGTTTGATAATTCACTGTTTTGGTCAAGAGTATAGGAAAACAGGCTCTTCATATATTCCTGATGAGACTGCAGATTAGAACAACTTCTACAGAGGCCAACTTGGCAACAGCTTTCAAAATTACAAAAGCATGTATCTTTTGACCAGCAGTTCCACCTCTAGAAGGTTATCCTTGGATATATCCACATCTATGTAAAATAGTATATGTACAGTATTATACAGTATTATAAATGCATTTTTTGGTAATAGCAATGAGTATGCAACTATTAAAGAACAAGTAAATTTTTTATAATATAAATATTCTTCAAAATATATTAAGTAGAAAAACAACTGGCACTATACAGTGTATATGACAAACTTTATGTAAAAATAAAAATAATTAAAATGTATAAAGTTAGCAAAGGAATAAATTAAATTTGTTAATAAAGAAATCTTGTCTGGTTCCTTTAATTGAAATAGCTTTAATGTTTTGACATTCAAACTGATTTTTGCTATTCAATTGGCAAATAGTCATCAAGTCTCAAGGGTTTCCTCCTTGCTTACTGAGAATTCTCATAAGGAATGCTTTTTGAAATGTATTGAATATTTTTCCAGCATCTATAGGTTTGATCATACTTTTTCATTTAATTAATCGATGCTAAATATATTACATTTGCAGGTACATTTCTTAGAATAAACCTTACTTGAGATTTTACTCAAAGGGAAAAATAAAATGATAAAGAGAACTAAAAAAAGATCTAAATAAAAGAACTATATTTCAAAAAAAAGAACTATATTTCTAGCTAGAATACTAAGATGAAAAATGATTGAAATGTGTATATATATTTAGCACAGTGCCTGGCATCTACTAAATATTCAGTAAATTTTAATCCTCTCTACATCTTCCCTAATATAAAGTTACAATGCTAGACCAATTAAATTCCTGATGAATATTTTATAAAATTTGATGCAAGCGAAAATAAAATTAAGCTTAAGAGGTAAGTATTAGGACACAAATACTAAATAATATACGTTGTTTAATGAACATTGGTAAATTTGCCCTAAAGATTTTAAAAATATAATGAAAATGACATGATTTTATTTTTTTTTGAAAATGACATGATTTTAAATCAAATATAGAAAAGTGGATCAAACAAAATAGGTTCAACAGTATAAAAACTTAATTCATACCTCACACCATATATTATTTAAAAAGTATGGTAAGTTAAAAGGATAAACATAATATTCTACAAATGCTATTAAGAAGAATAGTGCAATATTCCATCTTACTAAAGATAAAATCCTGACGTATAAAAATGAAGGTAGTAAAAAGAAGTAGTAGTAGTAGATGTGAAGGTCGAAAGTGAAATGGTGGGGATCCCTGGGTGGCTCAGCGGTTTAGCACCTGCCTTTGGCCCAGGGCGCGATCCTGGAGTCCTGGGATCGAGTCCTACATCAAGCTCCCGACATGGAGCCTGCTTCTCCCTCCTCCTGTGTCTCTACCCCTCTCTCTCTCTCTCTCTCCGTCTATCATAAATAAATAAATCTTTTTAAAAAAAGGGAAATGGTAATATTTGATCTTTAAAAAAATCTGCTGTGCAGTAAATAAAAAAAGGAAAGCAAAGGAAAGGGATACATTTGTATGACATTTATAACTTATAAAGAAGTACTAATTGCAATATAGAGACAACTAATGGAAATACAAAGTTAGTACATTAAAACTTCACAATAAGCCATCAAATTAATTATTTCCCTTAGGATAAAATTTAAATTATTTACTATGGCTTTATATGATCTAGTCCTGCCTGCCTCTCTGATTTCATTTATGCTTTCTCTGTCTGAGACCATCCCCCAACCTTTTTTCAGTTCCATGAACATACCAAACATTTTCCCTTGGAAACATGAAACTCTTTTCATCCTTTGGGCTTTTGCATATGCTGCTGGTTAACTGTCTGGAAAGCTCTTTTTATCACTCTTCACGTAGTTAACTTTTTAATCTGTAAATCCCAGATCTATCTATCTAATAATCCTATCTAAAGTAAATCTCCAAAAAAAAATAAATAAAGTAAATCTCCCCTATAATGTCTATCTAATAATCCTATCTAAAGTAAATCTCCCCTATAATGTCCTGTTTCTGTAAATCCCAGATCTATCTATCTAATAATCCTATCTAAAGTAAATCTCCCCTATAATGTCTATCTAATAATCCTATCTAAAGTAAATCTCCCCTATAATGTCCTATTTCAGTAACCTGTCATCTTCCTTAGAGGACTTCTCACCTTTTGTATTTTACTTATTGTTGTTACTCTCCCTCATTAGACTATTCAATCATGTGAATCTCACTCACCCTATATTCCCCAGTACAATGTCTAACAGCAGATGTATTCAATAAATATCTATTGAATGAAGAAAAATAAAACTCAAGCATCAGGTAATAATGGAAAGTTCCAATTATGATATTAGGGATATTATATAACTATATATAGCTATTCAAATTGAGGTATGGAAGTAGTAAAAGAAATGTTTATATGGAATAATGGTGAATGGAAAAGCAGACCACAAAATAGGATGCACATATACAACTAAGTAAGGAAAGTGTTTATACAACCAAATTCAAATGACTGGAAAATAATTCATGGTGATAATAATAGATTATAACAATTAGCAGACCTTGTAAAGAAAAGAAGTTGTTAACAACGATATGCTATAAAGTCAGTATTGTGGAAGAGTGCTTACAAAGTATAAAAACAGAGTATAACATTGTATGTACACCATGATTACAGCTAAATTAAATATAAATTGAAAGAAGACACAGAAATAAAAATACCTATTGCATCAAGGCAATAAACATGCATAAAATGTGACTTTAAAATTTTCTTTTTGGGATGCCTGGTGGCTCAGCAGTTTAGCAACTGCTTTTGGCCCAGGGTGTGATCCTGGAGGCCTGGGATTTAGTCCCACATTGGGCTCTCTGCATGGAGCCTGCTTCTCCCTCTGCCTGTGTCTCTGCCTCTCTCTCTCTCTGTGTCTCATGAATAAATAAATAAAATCTTAAAAATAAAATTTTCTTTTAAGGTTTTGATCTTTTAAAAATAATATTTTATAATGGTATTCATATGGGGAATATATAAAAAATAGTGAAAGGGATTAAAGGGGAAAAGAGAGAAAATGAGTGGGAAATATCGGTGAGGGTGACAGAACATGAGAGATTCATGGGAAATGAACAAGGGGTGGTGGAAAGGGAGGTGGGTGGGGGGATGGGGTGACTGAGTGATGGGCACTGGCGGGGGCACTTGATGGGATGAGCACAGGGTGTTATACTATATGTTGGCAAATCGAACTCCAATAAAAAAACATACAAAAATAAATAAAATATTTAATAATGGGAAACACCCATAAATAAGTAAATAAATAAATTAATTACTCAATCTCTTCTCAACATCTAATAAATAACTGAATAACATTTTGGGCAGATATCTTTAGTCCTTTTTTCTAATATGTATATAAGCAAAAATATATGTAAACTCAGAACCACACTATCCATATTATTTTTAATCTGCTTTTTTCATTTAATCATATATCATAATCATTTTCCCAGTCTATAGTAGCTTAATAATCAAGTTCCAAGAATAATTTAAACAACTGGTAACAGTGGTGAAGAGACACATTAGTGGACTACACAAAGCAAAAGGTGTAGACCCAGGGCCCAGTTTCATACTAATGTTAAGTCTAACACTAACATTTTTAAGGATCAACTACTGTATCCATAAAACAGCAAATACTGAAAGAGGGTAAAAACTGATGAGAAGTATTAAAATGTAAAAAACCAATGTTCAAGAGTGAGGAATGAAATATACTGACAAAACTGACAAATCCTAACTCCCAGAATAGTCTCCCAAGTACTCCATCAGACCAATAACATACAACTCACACCATATCCCCAGGAGAAGTCTGAGCTGCCTTCCGTAGAGATCCCTGTGCCTGTATAGCTTAGAAAAGCAGATCTTGAATTCCCAGTGTCAGCTGATGTAAAAGGTGATTCTTGTGTAATGTCAGAGTCACTAAATGCAAAATTTGGAAGAAGAGAGAAAACAGAAAAATTCTTATACTTTCTCAAGCTTCTGTAGCATTAACTACTCAGCAATTTACTAGGTGGCAAGCATGTATACAATCCACAGAAGCAAAAATAAATGAAGAATTTAATATTTAAACATGGAAAAGTCTTAATTCCTACAGAATTGATAACAGTGATTCTAAATAATTCTAGTCATAGTTTGCAACAAATACTTTAACATTCAACTTACCATTTCAGAAATATGAACAGTAATATTTGAACTTGTATGGCACTTTTACAGTTTACCAAGCACTTTTATAGATATAATCCCATTTTATCCTCACAACAACCTGGTGATGTAGAAGTCAACTGACCCCATCTAAAATTTTTTTTAAGTTTTTTTTTTTTTTATTTAAGTACACTTTACATTCAATGTGGGGCTCAAACTCATGACCCTGAAATCAAGAGTTGCATACTCTTCCAACTAAGCCAGCCAAACACCTCAATTAACCCCATTTTTTAAAGATGATCTGAGATTGAGTTTTAGGCTTTGCTTTTTTTATTTTAATTTTTATTTTTAAACATTTTACCTATGCATTTGAGAGAGAGAACAACAGAGGGAGACAGCAGGGAAGGAGACAGAAGGGGAGGAGAGAAACAGACTCCCCGCTGAGCAAGATGCCTGACTTGAGGCTCAATCCCAGGACCCTGAGACCATTACCTGAGCCAAAGGCAGATGCTTAATAGACTGAGCCACCCAGGTGCCCCTGGTTCTAGATTTTTAAAACTGGTTTTATGACTATAATTTTTCTATGATACCACGTTGCTTCTCAGAACCCTCTTTGAAATTACAGTATGCTCTGTTTCTTAAAATGATAACTGCAGCTAATATTTACTCATTAACCCATTATGTCAGTCGTGCCAAGTTTTACATACTTTACCTCATTTATATTCACAATACCCCTTAAGAGATACTATTATCAGGATCCCTGGGTGGCGCAGCGGTTTAGCGCCTGCCTTTGGCCCAGGGCGCGATCCTGGAGACCCGGGATCGAGTCCCACGTCGGGCTCCCGGTGCATGGAGCCTGCTTCTCCCTCTGCCTGTGTCTCTGCCTCTCTCTCTCTCTCTCTCTCTCTCTCTCTCTCTGTGACTATTATGAATAAATAAAAATTTAAAAAAAAGAGATACTATTATCTGGTAAGTAACTTGCCCACTGTTACCCAGGTAATAAGTGGCAGAGCCAGGATTAAAAATCAGATGTTAGACTCTTTCGGAGTCTTGGCTTTTAAGTATGTCAAAATACTACTTTTCAAGGGTTATAAGTATGATGTTTCCATTAGCTGTTCCAAAATGAAAACTGAATGGTACTGAAATGTGATAAAAATTATTGTTTTATTTCATTAGTACAAGACTAGGTATCAAGTCTAAACGAAAAAATACTTTTGCCATTATCAAGTGTAATAAGCAAACAAGTACACTTTGTGTTATTACCTTTGGGAACTTGTGTCTTTTTCATGGCTGTCATTAGTAGAAGAAATTTCATCCAGCTGCTCTGGAAGGGGATGATGATTAACAGCATGTTTTGTTATTCCTTTCCTGTGAAAGATTTTTTAAAAAGTTATATTTCCTGTGAAGAAAAAATATATACTTTTCAATAACTTGAGTACAGATTAGTCACCTACTTCCTGCTGCTCTGGGACTGCACTGTCCTATGTGGTAGCCACTAAAACTAGCAGTTAAAATGTGGTTAGTCGAGGAGCAGCTGGGTGGCTTAGTGATTGAGCATCTGCCTTTGACTCAGGTTGGGGTCCTGGGATGGAGTCCCACATCAGGCCCTGCAGGGAGCCTGCTTCTCCCTCTGCCTATGTCTCTGACTCTCTCTGTGTCTCTCATGAATAAATAAATAAAATCTTTTAAAAGTAAAATAAATTAAATTAAATTAAAATGTGGTTAGTCGTTGGGGATCCCTGGGTGGCGCAGCGGTTTGGCGCCTGCCTTTGGCCCAGGGCGTGATCCTGGAGACCCGGGATCGAGTTCCACGTCGGGCTCCCGGTGCATGGAGCCTGCTTCTCCCTCTGCCTGTGTCTCTGCCTCTCTCTCTCTCTCTGTGTGTGACTATCATAAATTAAAAAAAAAAATGTGGTTAGTTGGCATGATGAGCACCAGGTATTGTACGGAAGTGCTGAATCACTATATTGTACACCTGAAACTAATATTATATTGTATGTTAACTGGAATTTAAATAAAAACTTATATTCTTAAAATTAATTTCACTGAAAACTTAAACTACAGTAAGTTATAACTTCACACCTATTAGAATAACTAGCACAAAATATAGTAATAACATTAAATGCAAATAAGGATGTGTAGAAACCAGATGTCTCATACACTGCTGGTGGAGGAAAGGTAAAAAGGTATAGCCAATCTGGAACAGTCTCACAGTTTCTTTTTTTTTTTAAGATTTTTAATTTTTATTTTAAGAGTGAGAAAGAATGAGTGGAGGGCAGAGAGAGAGGAAGAAGCAAGTTCCGCTGAGGAGCCCCACACAAAGCTCTCCATTATAAGACCGTGGGATCATGACCTGAGCTGAAGGCAGATGCTTAACCAACCCTTGAGCCACCACAACGCCCCAATTTTTAAAAAAATTTATTTATGAGAGAGAGTGAGAGAGAGTGTGCATGGGAAGGTGCAGAGGTAAAGGGACAAGCAGGCTCTGCACAGAGCATGGAGCCCAACATAGGGCTCTATGTGGGGCTTGATCTCGGGACCCTGAGATCATGACCTGAGCTGAAACCAAGAGTTGGATACTTAACTGCCTGAATCACCCAGGAACCCCAGTTTCATACTTTCTAATCAACTAGTACCAATGTCAGTTTCCTAGCTTTGACATACTAGTTACATAAGTTGTCATCATTAGGGGAAGGTAGGTGAAAGGTTCATGGGATTCTATGTATGATTTTTTAACATACATAGTCTATAATTGAGTCTATAGTGAGTCTACAATTATTTCAAAATAAAAAGGCAAAAAACAAATTTCACCTGTTCTATTTTTTTTAACATAACTACCTGAAAATTTAATATTCCTTATGTGGCTGTATTATATTTCTATTGGACAGAGCTGCACTAGGGAGTTCAACATGTACATTAAACTAAGGGATCAATTATATGTTCCAGTCTTTTTTTTTTAAGATTTTATTTATTTATTCATAGAGACACAGAGAGAGAAAGAGAGGCAGAGACACAGGCAGAGGGAGAAGCAGGCTCCATGCAGAGAGCCTGGTGGGGGACTCAGGATCACACCCTGGGCTGCAGGCAGCACAATACCGCTGCACCACCGGGGCTGCCCTATATGTTCCAGTCTTTTTTTTTTTTTTAATATGTTCCAGTCTTAATCATCTATAGTAGACCTTCCTCCCCCCAAAATTCTGTAATAAAATAAGTTTAGGAAATGTGATAAGCTAAACAAAGTACATAGGTTTCTTTATAAAAGGCCTCCTTAGGGCCTTTCATATGTAAATGTATATTATAAATCTCTAATACTCTTATTTCATAGGCAAGGAAAGTAAAGCACAGAGAGATTAAGTAACCTGCTTAAGGGATGCCTGGGTGGCTCAGCGGTTGAGCATCTGCCTTCAGCCCAGGGCGTGTTTCTGAAGTCCCGGGACTGAGTCCCACGTCGGGCTCCCTGCATGGAGCCAGCTTCTCCCTCTGCCTGTGTCTCTGCCTCTCTCTCTTTCTCTCTCTCTGTATCTCTCGTGAATAAATAAATAAAATCTTTTGTAACCTGCTTAAGGTCATATGCCTAGGAAGTGATGGGAGCCAGGATTCAAATCCAAGTACTCTGGCTCTGAGGATTCTCAGACCAAATGAATAATTTGAGATTTTAGTGAATTGTACCATTTTTATATATAAGGATAAAGCTAAGGGCCCAGTCAGCAGTCTGTACTTTAAACTATTTCTCAAATGGTGGGGATGGGTTTGTGCAGAGCTATCTGAACTTCTCTCATTCAATGATCCTACAACCGAAAGCTTGTCTTTGAGACAGAAGTGAACAGAAATGTGGATTCCAGCTACAAAACAGAAACATAAGACATATTTTAGTCTTTCAAAGAAATGTGAGTATGAAATGATTAGGTAACACCAAAGAAACATTAAATTTGATTGTAACACTGCTTTTACATAAGAAAATACCTGGGGGCACCTGGCTGGCTCAGTGGATTAAGTGTCTGCCTTAGGCTCATGTTGTGATCTCAGGGTCCTAGAACTGAGCCCAGCACTGCTCCACGGGGAGTCTGTTTCTTTCCCTCTTTCTGCCCCTCCTTAAGCCCCTCCCCTGGCTCATGCTTGCTCTCTCTCACACTCTCTCAAATAAATAAAATCTTTTTTAAAAAAGAAAATACCTATAATTTTTAGAAGTGCATACTGAAGTATATAGGGGTGAAATGATAGTGTCTGGGATTTTACTTCATTATTTACAGATGACGGACAGAGAAAATGAAAAAAGATAAAGACGAAGATGAAGCAAATATATCAAATTTGTGATAATTGTTGAATGTGGGTGATAGGTGGTTAATTATATTATTTGCTATACATGTATGTTTGAAATTTATCACTTTTTAAGTGTTAAGCCGTATGTTGAAAATCCCTTTTTTTCAAACTCTTTTCAATATCCATAATTTGGAACTAATAGGGAGAAACCTAAAGTTACTTATTCAAAGCAAATTATCATCATAACACCTAAAGTAAAAATCGCTTTTATTTTACTGTCATTGAGATACATATAATCTTCATTATTTTCATTATTCTTATCCTCCTGACTCCTCTACGGAATCTTTGGAGGGGTTGCTTTTAGGGAGTATCAAACCAACAATAGAGAACAAGTACCCTAACTATACTGGAGTAATTCTCACCCACTAAATGCCTACCAACAACTTTTTCCATAAAATATGTATTTTTTTACTCTCAGAATGGTCAGAATTAATTAAAAGCAGATGTTTAGCTGAGCCCTGTTCCTTTTATTAGAAAATTACTTTCTTCTTCATACTTCCTAAAAAGCTTATTGTCTGAATTGCTACTGTATAAATATCCTATTACTTAGTGGATAATAAGCTTCTTAAATTAAGGCAAGAAGAGATCACAGATTTTCTTTGTATGTCTGTTGTACCAAGTAAAGGTGGGAAAGGACAGGAAATAACCAACTACTGAGAATCTACTATGTGTCAAGCCCTGTGCCATCACTTTGGATATGCTTTATTTTTTTAAAAAGATTTTATTTATTTGAGAAAGAGCACAAGGTGGGGGAGGAGCAGAGGGAAAAGTAGACTGAGCAGGGAGCTCAAGGCGGAGCTCAATCCCAGGACCCTGGGACCACTACCGGAGCCAAAGGGAGACACTTGACCAAGTGAGCCACCCAGGCTCCCCTTAGATATGCTTTTATTTATTTATTTATTTTATTTTTTAAAGATTTTATTTATTCATGAGAGACACAGAGAGGCAGAGACAGGCAGAGGGAAAAGCAGGCTCCATGCAGGGAGCCTGACGTGGGACTCCATCCTAGGACTCCAGGATCACGCCCAGGGCTGAAGGCAGACGCTAAACCTCTAAGCCACCCAGGGATCCCCCAGGTATGCTTTTAGATAAAGTCTTAGTCCTATATTACAGAAATGAATGCTCAAATATTTAGTAATCTGCTTAAAAGTCACATGACTAGAAAAGAGCCTAGCCAGAAACCCAGATTGACTGAAGATTCCATGCTTGTTATTACCATATGTAGTTAGTATTTAATTAATAAATGTATGGTTGCTAAAATTACATGGCTCTATGGAGAGAAAAAAAGTTGGGAGTTGAGTATAAAAAGCCTAAGCTCAAAACCTATTGGTTATATAATCTTAGGATGTGTAACCTTTCTGATATTTCATGCTCTGAAACACTGAAAGACAATCATGCCCATCTTACAGGGTTGTTGCAAGGATCAAGAGGTGAAAGTCGTTTTGAAAGTGAAAGCATTAACAAATGTACATTATCATTACTTGCTAAATTACAATGCCTCACCGTTGTAAGGGACGGGAGGTGGGTCTTTAAGCTTAAATATTTGCTCTCTAGATCAAAACTTATCCTTAAGGATTCCGATGTTTAATTGCAGAGATGAGGAAGTAGTATGTGTCACGATTATGGCCAAAGCTTCAGGGTCAGACTGACACCCGGTTTGTGTGCTCCACTGCCTTCTGCCTGTGTAATCTTTGACCTGCTTCAATCTTAAATCTGGGACATTTGCAGAATGTAAAAAATAATATTCCCTATTCTGTATCCCTGCTGATAGGATTAAGTGAGTCAATGCATGTAATCAGCTTTGCATGGTGCCTGGCACTAGATAGATAGATATATGGATTTTTTTATTGGATTTTAATTTGCCAACATATAGCATAACACCCAGTGCTCATCCCGCCAAGTGGCACTAGATATACTTAACTTTGTTGTAGCACTCAGTCACCTATTAGTACCTTCTCCAGTCGTCAATGGCCTTTGACGGTGAGGCATGAAGCACTGAGAAAACTACAAATGCCACAGGAGACCCAGTCCCTGAATTCAGGAAGTGCAGCCCGGGAGGGCCAAGTCCTAGGACAGCACAAGTGACACGCCCTTAGCTGGACAGGGAGACAGACCGGGCAGCGTCTGACAACTCTAGGAGGAGAGAATTCCAAAGAAAACGTTCCTTCCCCCACCCTGGGAACGGGAAGGTGAGAAGCATCGGTTGGGAAGGATCCCGACCGGAGCGCCCGCGGCCCCGCCTCAGCCTCCCCCGGCCTGAGGAGGGCTGGGAGGGCTGAGCAGTCCACTCACAGCTCCAAGCTCTGTGGCACCGCCTTCCGAGTGTATCTGGAGATCATCCTCCTCTTCCTCCTCTGCCGCGAAGGGGGCGGGCACGCCAGGGTGGGGGCCTCCGGGCCTGGCCCTCCCGCCGGCTGCGGCCCGGCCCCCTCCCGCCACCTCCCGGCCCCGCCACGCCCCGTCGCCTACACTCGGGACAGCCGCCACTCCTAGAGTCCCCTCCCCTCCGGCCCTCCGCCCCTCCGCCCTCCCTGCTTCCCCGCGGGGGCGGAAGTGACGAAAGCACCGGGGCACCCGCCTAAAGCTCCGGCGGACGCGCAGCAGTGACGCCACCGGGGGTTCCGGGGTCGGGCGGGTCTTTGCGAGCTTCCGCTGGCCTCAGGTGCCCGGGAGACGTCGGGACTGACCTTGGGCCGGGTTTTGGCTGCCACTGGCCGCTCCGGACCCGCTCCCGCGGTGGGAGGGGCGGCGGAGGAGAGGTGCCGCGGCGGAGACGCGTGGGGGAGGCCCGGGAATCGTAAGCGGAATTGGCTTCCTTCCGTCTAGTGAGGAGCACTAGACTCCGGCTCAGCCCTCTGCTGCGCCGTCTCTCCTCTTTCTCTGCGTGTCGGTTTTCTCACTTGTACAGCAAGGAGTTAGCCCGAGTGATCTCAAAATCCCTTCCTGTTCGGACACTAAGTTCTGTATAAAAATGTGTGCCTTACATTATGGGGTTGGGTGGATGGGAGTGTCCGCCCCTCGGGGTTGGGAAGCCAGATGATGATTTGGACAGACTGGATAGAAGGTGCAGGTTCCCCTCGACCTCGTCTTATCAGCCCGTTAGGAAACCGAATAAGAATAAAAATCGAATTGTGCCTTGCGAATTGTGCCCATCCAGCGCGGTGCGTCCTCTAGCAAGGCTCATCTGGCAGCAGCAGTTAGCTGGTGCTTGTGTTTGTAAGGGAGACCCTTAGAAAATAGAGCTATTTCCCTCCTCTTGAGACTTGAAAACGGGGTTAGTTTCAGGACAGCTGTAGGATCAAGAACCATGGGCAAACTATTTTGGTGGAAGATGATGGGACTTGAATGTTTTTGTGGTTTTGAACTCCCCTGTGCTGGACAATATTCATAAAACGAAATTTAAATTCTGCGGAGTGAAGGTTCAGAGCTTTTTTTTTTTTTTTTTTTTTTAACGGTGTACGTGTTGGTTTTTTAAAAGATTTTATTTATTTGTTTATTCATGAGACACACACACACACACAGAGGCAGAGACACAGGCAGAGGTTCGAGAAGCAGGCTCCATGCAGGGAGCCCGACGTGGGACTCGGTCCTGGGTCACCAGGATCACTCCCTGGGCAGAAGGTGGCTCTAAACCGCTGGGCCACCGGGGCTGCCCTCTTTTCTTACTTTGGATAAATTTTATATTCCTTTCTCTGTTTATAAATTTTTATTTATTTATTTTTAAGATTTTATTTATTTATTCATGAGAGACACAGAGAGAGGCAGAGGGAGAAGCAGGCCCCACGCAGGGAGCCCGACGTGAGACTCGATCCTGAGTCTCCAGGATCAGGTCCTGGGCTGAAGGCAGGCGCTAAACCGCTGAGCCACCCGGGCTGCCCCAGAGCTTTTAAAAAATAACAATTTAAACTAGGAGAGGAATTTGAAAGTAAAAGAGTAACATTCTCATTTTACAGTTAAGGAAAAAGCCCCAGAAAGAGAAATTGAGGTGCTCAAAGTGACACAACTAATCTCATGGCAGAGCTGGGGCTTCTGATAGTATTTCACATAAGCTGTTATTGCAGTGCTTCTCAAAGTGTGTTATGCATTCACACTAGCGCTAGTACAGGGGCAAACCTTTTATTTTATTCTTGCATACCTATTAGTTAATTTGGACATGTGATACTCAACATCTATTTACTGTACTGTATGAAAAGTTCTAATATAGTTTTAAGGATGAAGAACATAAGTTTAAAAATCATTAGAAGAATATTAAATGGGTGTTACCATTCATACTTGATTAAGGCAAAAAATTAAAATGAGAGTATGTGGGTAACTGAATTTTGGAAGACAATGGAATCATGTAGGATAGTTCAGAGAATTGGATTTTACTTCTACATTATTCTGTGTGGTTTTACATTGTTGAAACTTTAAATGTAGTTTTCAAAGAAGAATGGAGGAAAATACGAAGCTGGCCACAGTGGAAGACACTGTGGAGTATCACCTGTTCCTGATACCAGATGAACCAAGGGACCCAGAAAAGCACAAAGAGATTCTTCAAAAGTATATTGAGAGGATAATGACTCAGTTTGCACCTATGCTGGCCCCCTATATCTGGCAAAATCAGCCTTTCAATCTCAGATATAAACCAGGGAAAGGTAAGGCTCTTTTCCTTATTTTGATGTGATGTGTTGACATCTAATTCTGACAATGATGTATAATAGTCCATAGTTCATTCAGTCTTGTCAGGAGATTTATAACCTGAACTTTTTTGATTAGTGATGCTTGCCTATGTTTGGTTAAATCCTTAAACTTAACCAAAAAATTTTTAAAAAATTATCTTGATGAAAGCTTTCTAATAGTAATTACCTTAGGAACTAATATATACTCAACATTATTATTAAACCATGGCTATTCTTTGCAACTTTACTCTTCTGTGCTGTAATGTATCTAGGAACCTATACTCAACAGGTTCAGGCATCTGGCTTCCTTAACCATAGTTTGCTTTAGTGGTTACTCTGTATTCCTCAGTCTTGATCATGTGTTTAGTAGGCTGCCTTATTTCACATAGTTGTGAAACTATGTGGCTCTACCTGGCTTATAAAGAGAAATAATTGGGCTTAGGGCCATTATTTGCTACTCAGAAGCATTTTGAGATTGCTTCACTGCTTCCCTGTATTGTTGGTGCTTGACATCTGACCTCTGGCCAAATATGGCACTTTTTCTTATCATTTCATATAGCTTTAGTAAAATGAGGCATGAAGAGGTGACCATGGCTCTTATTTTATGCAGGGTCTTATTTCAGATCAGGAGTCTGGCATCTTTTGATACTGTCAGTTTAGGTTTAGATTTAGTGTTTATCTGTTCTCCTTTGGCTAGCAGTTACCAGATGTGTTCCCTGGTGTTAATTTTATTGAACTCCTGTTCACTGAAACACATGTGATATTTATTGGCAAGAACACTGGCACATAAGCACAGCACATCCAAAACCAACTCCTTATCTTTTTCCTAGAAAATCTTTTTTACCCAATGTTTTCTTGTCTTGCTTAATGGTACTGCTATCCACCTAGTTATTCAAGCTTGTTAATAATTCAAAATTATACTCAGCTCCTCACTTGACCATGTTCAGTCAGGTGCTGAATCCTAGTGTGGTTACTCCTTCAATGTGACCGCTTCTCTACATTTGTTTAGCTACAATCTAGACCCTCTTTATCTCTTCATCTGGAAGACTACAGTAACCCAACTAACCTCTCTGGTTCCAGTGTCTCCAATTCTTCACACTGTTGCAGGTTACCTTTGTAAAAACACAAATTTGATCATGTCACTCTTCTGCCTAACATCCTTCACCAGATACCCATTGCTTCTGGATAAATTGAAGTTTAATATATAAAGTAGATGAAAATAGACACTCTAATTGGACCTTCTCTAAGTAAAGAAATTTGAGAGATCTGAGTTGGGGAGAAGAGTTAGCTAGGCTATTCTTCCTACTTTTTTTTTTTTTTCCCATAGCAGCTCTAGAGACACTCCCCAGTGTGCTTGTTTGATCTTTAGTCTGTTAATGTGGTAGGTTATATTGATTGATTTTCATATACATCACATTGCATTCCAGGAATAAACTCAACTTAGTCGTGGTGTACAATCTTTTAATGTGTTGAATTCAGTTTGCTAGTATTTTGTTGAGGACTTCTGCATCGGTATTCCAGGGATATTGGTCATAGTGTTCATGTATTGTCTTTGGCCTTAGGATGAGGATAATACTGGCCTCACAAAATGGATTTGGGACTGTTCCCTCCTCTTCAGTTGTTTATACAAGTTTTAGGAGGATTGATGTTAATTCTTCTTTAAATGTTGGCAAAATTTTCTAGTGACTAAGAAAAAGTCACTAGACGTTTTTTTTTTCTTGCTTGTGGATTTATTGACCACCAGGTCCCTCCTCAGCTTTCACCTTGCAGGCCTCGCCCACTCTATTTTAGAGTCAGGAGCTGGGAACAGCACCTGTTTCCTCCTCTCCCAGCGCGGGCTGGACATTTTGGCGGCACCCCTCTCCAACCCAGGTGTCGGGGTTTGTGTTTTCCAGTTCGCCCTCCCTCCCCACCCCCTCCCCACGCAGCCCTATTTCCGTGGCCGTGGGCCCGGGTAGCAGAGCGATCCACGCTCACACACCCCCGATCTCCAGCAGGCTACCTGCTTTGGAGAGCATCGGCTGGACCGCTCGGACCCACCTGCCTCCCAAAGTTTGGGGCGTGGAGGGGGGGCCGGGACACGTGGTAGCTGGCTGTGGCTCAGCCTGGGGGTCCGGAGGAATGGAATGAAGCCAGAAGTATCACATTAAGCTTAAGAGAAAAATGAGACCAGGCATATTTACATACCACCGGAAGACTCTTGGTGAGAAATGTGTAATCCTTGTGTGTGTTTGATCAGAAAGTACTGTTAACCCAAACAGGAATATATCAAAAACACCTCTGGAGTACTTTAGAACCCAACAAATGACATGCTTATTACATTGTAACTACAACCTCCTCCACATTATCACTGTAATTTTCATAGTCATTACTAAATTATAAATAAATTGTTCTTGAGCAGTTTACAGAGGTAATAAATGCCTTTATCCACGAGTATTAAAAAAAAAAGTCACTGGACTTTTTTTTTTTTTTTAATTAGCAATGCATAACATTTATTTCCTTGACATTTGTCTTCCAAAGAGTTCACAGTGTTTCAGTGTCAGTTGAAACAGGGGAAGAATCTCAGGGAAGAATCCTTCACATAATAATAGGACCACTGGTAATAATGTCTCTCAGTTCTTTTCAAATCCATAAAGATGCATTCCTGATGAGTGACTGAGCTCGAGGTCCAAGTCCCTGCTCCACTGTGTCGGGTGTACTTGGACACAAGCTCGAGCTTGTAAATCAGCCCTCGTGTGTTTGCATCGGTGTTGGCTTCTCAGAAACTTCTCAGTGTCGGAAGTTTTTGGTTACTGATTCAATGTCCTTACTAGTAACCAGTCTGTTAAGATTCTCTATTTCTTCATGTTCCAGTCTTAATAGGTTTAGTGTTTCTAAGAATGTACTTAGTTCTTCTAAGTTATCCAGTTGTTTGGTACACAATTGTTGATAGTGTTCTCTTATAGTCCTTTTTATTTCTGTAGTATAGATTGCAATATCTGATTTTCATTTCTGATTTTAGTTACTTCCATCTCTTTTTTTTCTTACTAAAGGAGATTTTGTCAATTTTGTGATCTTTCAACAAACCAAATCACTTTATTTTTTTCTATTGTTTTTCTATTCCCTGTTTCATTAATTTCTGTCCTAATCTTCATTATTTCCTTCCTTCTGCTAGCTTTGGGATAGCTTTTTCTTGTTCTAGTTCCTTATGGTGTAAAGTTAGGTTGTTGATCTGAGATCTTTATAACTATAAACTTCCTCTTAGCACTGCTTTTAGTATGTCTCATGTTTGTTTTCATTTTCTCAAGGTATTTTCTAATTTCCCTTATGATTTCTTCATTGATCCATAGGGTTGTTTAAGAGTGTATAAAGTTCTACAGATTTTGAATAATGCACTTCTTTAAAAGATTTCTGCTTGGGATCCCTGGGTGGCGCAGTGGTTTAGCGCCTGCTTTTGGCCCAGGGCGTGATCCTGGAGACCTGGGATCGAGTCCCGCATCGGGCTCCCAGTGCATGGAGCCTGCTTCTCCCTCTGCCTATGTCTCTGCCTCTCTCTCTCTCTCTCTCTCTCTCTGTGTGTGTGACTATCATAAATAAATAAAACTTTAAAAAAATCATAAATAAAAATAAAAAAAAAAAGACTTCTGTCCATCTAACTCTAGCTTCCTGATATTCCCAGAACACTGTATTGTCGTCTATCATGCTTATATGCCTTTGCACGTACTATTCTCTCTTTCTGGAAAGCCTACTTCTAGTCATTCGTCCAAATGAACATAGCTCAGATATCACATTCTTTATGCTCACAATCCCCTCAGTGCATACATCTGTTTGTTGTCTTGTTTTGAGATGGTGTGGTGGTCCGTCTCCTATTGTCTAGATCCTTGGGTCCTCATAAGTAGGCTTCTTATGTCCTGTTCAGCTTTGTAACCCCAACTCCCCATAGTACCTACAGCATGGTCAGTCAATGAATGTTTATTTGAATGATTACGTGTATTTTTATGTGCACTAACAAATTGATTTGATTATATGATTGCTTTTCTCTTGTTTTTAGGAAATGTTCCTGCTCATATGTTTGGCGTGACAAAGTTTGGGGATAACATTGAGGATGAATGGTTTATTGTTTATATAGTAAAGCAAATTACAAAGGAATTTCCAGAGTTAGTAGCAAGGTATTAGTTATTTTAATTATCTAAAGGAATTCTCTTTTGAGACTGACTACATTTTTATCCATTTAGCAAATTTTTTTTCAATAGTCTGGTAGAGACTGTACAAATTTGAGACTTAGATTTTGAAAGTGACTTTATGTTTTCTTTTCTCTTGTCACTTCCTTTTCTTGAGGAAAAATATAAGTACATTGGCGAGTTTAATATCCTCAATTTTTAAACAAAAGCTGCCTATTTTAGTTTTTTTTTTAAATACTCATTATGGAAGATCAAATACAGATAGTAAATAAAATCCAAACAATACCAAAGGGTGTTTAAGAAAATCTTAGGGGACATCTGGGTGGCTCAATGGGTAAGCCCCTGCCTTCGGCCCAGGGCATGATCCTGGAGTCCTGGGATCAAATCCCACATCGGGCTCCCTGCATGGAGCCTGCTTCTGTCTCTGCCTATGTCTCTGCCTCTCTCTCTGTGTGTGTCTCTCATGAATAAATAAATAAGAATCTTTAAAAAAAAAAAATCTTAGAAAAAAATTCCATTTGCAGGTACATGTATACATTTGACAGATTACTCTATCTTCCTCTATTATACCTTAGCTGTATATTTTTTTTGAGAAATCACATATGGAGAATTTTAAAGAAAAATCAGAACAGTTATATTAAAAGCAAAGTAGGTAACACTGCATTCTAAATCTATTCAAAATGGGAACTGATAGTTCTCTGTAATTACCAAGTTGTGTCAGCAGAGGGCAGTTCACCCATTTGCCACGTTATCCTAGTTTTTCTGTCAGCCTCCAAATTCTGATCTGTACCCCTAACCTCTTCCCCAGCAGAACAAAAAGAAAAACAGCTTTGAAAACTTCTATCAAAATTTCAAATATGGAAATAGAAAGAATGAACCCACATGTACTCATCACCTAGCTTCAACAATTATCAACTCATGAACATTCCTACTTTATCTATACCTTTCCCCTACTCCATTACATAGCAAGATTATTTTAAAGCAAATCACCAATAGTATGCCATTTGATCTTTAAATACTTTAAGATGTAAATATAAAAGATGACTCTTGTTTTAAATACTACTATTACCACATCTCAAAATAATTAGCAATAATTTCTTAATGATAAAATTTAAAGTGAACAAACACAAAGATAGTCATTCCTTTCTTTACAAGGATAATAGGGCGAGGGCAATGCCTTATGTGTATGGATTCTGATCTTTATATAATCATGACCTATACCTGCAAACCAGGCCTCTAAAGCTTTTTAAATAATAGGCATCTACTGTCTTGTCAGTTTCTTTTTTTAATGAGAAAAAGAAAGAACTTCTATCTTTGCCAGATTAATCTTCCTAAGGTAGTGCTCTAACCCTTTTCTACACTGCCTTGAAATCTTTCATTCCTTTTCTATATAAAACTAAGCTCATTCTCAATGACTCTGTTAACATTTAAAGCTCTTCAGAAAATGATATAACTGCCTTTTTTTAAAGATTTATTTATTTGAAAGGGGGAGAGAGAGAGAGAGAGAGTGCACACAAGCAGGAGGGGCAGAGGGAGAGATATTGAGAATCTCAAGTAGACTCCATGCTGAGCCTGGAGTCTGATGCAAGGATCAATCTCCCGACCCTCAGATCATGACCTGAGCCAAAACCAAGAGTCAGGTGCTCAGCCCAGGCACCCCATAACTGTTCTGTTCTAGTCTTAGTCTTTACTAATTGTCATTCTCCAAATATCCACCTCAAATAGCTATCTCCGTGATTATGCTTATGCTAATCCCTCTTCTAAGAACATCTCTCCTTTTCTCCTTATGTCTCCACCATTAAAATTGAAAAGATCTAGAACAGTATATAAAATACGCTACCTTTTGTGTGACAAGAGAAGAAAATAAGAATTTATATTCCTATTTGCTAGATTATGCATAAGCAACCTCTAGAAGGATAAGCAAGAAATAACAATGGTTTGAGGATAGGAATGGGGCATATAGGGACAAAAGGAGGAAGGAAACTTTTTCAGTGTGTAACTTTATGTATTTTTTAAAAGTTTGGCAATGTGACTATCTTACCTATTCAAAAATTTAAATTTATGGGTGCCTGGGTCACTCAACTGGTTAAGCATCCAGCTCTTGATTTCAGCTCAAGTCATGATCTCTCTGCCCCTCCCCCTGCTCATGTGCTCTCTCTCTTTCCATCTCTCTCAAATAAATACATATATCTTAAAAAAAACTTTATTTATTTATTTTTTTATTTATTTATGATAGTCACACAGAGAGAGAGAGAGAGGCAGAGACACAGGCAGAGGGAGAAGCAGGCTCCATGCACCAGGAGCCCGACGTGGGATTCGATCCTGGGTCTCCAGGATCGCGCCCTGGGCCAAAGGCAGGCGCCAAACCGCTACGCCACTCAGGGATCCCTTAAAAAAAACTTTAAACATTTTTTTAATTTTAAAAAAGTGATACAAATGAGACAAAACAAAATTATCTCTCAAGGTCCAAGTAACTTTTCTATAAATGCTTTCCTAATCTTGGCTCTATGTGATTTTTTTTTTAATTTTTATTTATTTATGATAGTCACACAGAGAGAGAGAGAGAGAGAGGCAGAGACATAGGCAGAGGGAGAAGCAAGCTCCATGCACTGGGAGCCCAACGTGGGATTCAATCCCGGGTCTCCAGGATTGTGCCCTGGGCCAAAGGCAGGTGCTAAACCACTGCGCCACCCAGGGATCCCTCTATGTGATTTTTTTCTTCCTTTGGCACCCTATTATATAGTTTCGTATTTTGTCTGGTGTTACTTATTTATGTACTTATTTTTTCTTCTTATCATCTCTCTCAAACTTCCTTTATTTTAGAATCTCTTTCAGTATTTCATATTTCAGTATTTCAGTCTTAAGTATTTTGCTTTGTTATAATAATCTACACATAGCATATACTCAGATATTTACTAAAATGAAAGAAAAAATATTAGAATAAATGTATCTTGATTAGTAGCATATATGTGCTTTTTTGAACGCATAATTGGAATTTCTTTTGCATTAGGATTGAAGACAATGATGGTGAATTCTTGTTAATAGAAGCTGCTGACTTTCTCCCTAAATGGTTGGATCCTGATAATAGTGCCAATAGGGTAAGTATCATGTTGTAACATTTTTCACACATACCTAGATTTTGTCAGTGCCCAGAATGAAAATTAAAATGTGCATTTTGCAGGTGTTTTTCCAGCGTGGAGAATTGTGCCTTATTCCTGCACCAAGGAAACCTGGCACAATGTCCTGGCTACCCACCACACCCCCAACGGTCCCACAAGCATTGAATATAATCTCAACACACCCAGAAGAAATTTTGGCTTCAGAATCTATACGAGCTGCAGTGAATAGACGCATCAGAGGGTAAGAAAAATATTTTCATTGCTAGTCAAGGAGCCTTTTGCTTTCTTTTCTTTTTTTTATTATTTATTTATTTATTTATTTATTTATTTATTTATTTATTTATTTATTTTTGCCTTTTGCTTTAATGCAGCTCAAGTTTTTGGTTGCATGTAGAATTTCTTTCACCTTTAATGCTCATTTTCATTCTGTCTTCTTCCTTCATGAAAGTGACTAACAAATTAAACTTACATGTTCTAAAATTAAGAAATAGATACATCTTTTAATTCCCGTTCATAGGTGTTAATATTCCACTCCCAATATTTTTGCACTGCTTTACTCATGTACTATATCCATAGATAAAAATTTTGAGACATACAGGACTGAAAACCTAAGGGAGTGCAATGTACTCTGTGGTTCTGGGGCTCTGTGTGGGATTCTTTTACCTATGTGGAACACTTTAGGCTCTATTCAAAGGAGATAGTCTTCACCTAATAACCTTTTAGATTTAAGTACCTATTTAAAGTTTAGCACTATTCAAGTTTTAACAATATAAAATCTCTTTTAACTTTTTCAATATACTTCATAACATTGTTTTAGAAGAAAAAAAACTCTGATTTTATCCTTATTTCAAAGAATAGTAGAGTTTTTGTTTTGTCTTTATTGAACTACTTTGTTTTTCTTTAAGGATTTTGTTTATTTCAGACAGAGCATGAGCCAGAGAGTTGTGGGGGAAGAAGGCGCAGAGGGAGAAGGAGACTCCGACTGACAGGGAGCCCATCGTGGGATGGGACCCTGGGATCATGACTTGAGCTGAAAGCAGACACTTAACTGACTGAGCCACCCTGCTGAACTACTTTAATTCCTTTTCTTTAGTTTCCATTTCTTCCTACTTTTCTCATTCCCTTTCTTTTGTGCAGTTTTTAGTGTATATGGTAGCTTTATCTTCACCTTCCTTGTCATTCTACATTTTACTCTAATGAACCAAGATGATACAAGGAGAAGTAAATGGGAGAAGAATTCTAGATACATATCATTAAATAATTATTTTATTTGATACAGATACCCAGAAAAAATTCAAGCCTCCCTCCATCGTGCACACTGCTTCCTTCCAGCCAGCATTGTAGCGTTGTTAAAGCAGCACCCCCGATTGGTGGCTGCGGGAGTCCAGGCGTTTTACCTGCGGGACCCCATTGACCTGCGAGCCTGCCGTGTTTTCAAGACTTTCTTGCCTGAAACACGAATAATGACATCGGTAAGATAGCTTTCTTGATCACTTAGGTTGTGTCACTGGAAAGAGAGTTGAACATGATTGTAATTGTACACTAGAGAAAACTGGAAATATTTTGTTTCCTCAGGGCAGGTTAATATACTTTTATTTTCTTTTTTCTTTTTTCCCATCCATGGAGGAAGATTTCAAGAGACTTCACTTCCTATTTTATATCTAAATGTTTCCTAGATATTTTCTGACCATATTTTTTCTATTTTATTTTCTTCTTAAGAGTAAAACATTTTGGGGATCCCTCAGCGGTGTAGCACCTGCCTTCAACCCAGGGTGTGATCCTGGAGTCCCGGGATCAAGTCCCATGTCGGGCTCCCTGCATGGAGCCTGCTCCTCCCTCTGCCTGTGTCTCTGCCTCTCTCTGCCTCTCTCTCTGTCTCTCATGAGTAAATAAATAAGATCTTTAAAAAAAAAAAAAGTAAAACATTTCATTTCTTCCAGAGACTTAAGAAATATCCTTTATCTTCTACCTACCCAAATTGCCACATAATGTAATTAATGAGAGGAATTCCATTAGTGATAACTAAAAAGTTGACAGTGAGGTCAATTTTATGGCATGTGAATTATATCACAATAAAGCTGTTACTAAAAAATGTCGGCAGGTAAATAGGTTGGATCTTCTTTGCATTTCATATGAATACAAAGCTCATAAATGAAATTATTAACTGTAAAATGATACTCAAATTTTTACTTTCAGGAAGACTCATATATTTTGTGTCCTAATGTCTAGGTCACTTTCACTAAATGTCTGTATGCACAGTTGGTACAACAAAGGTTTGTGCCAGACCGGCGGAGTGGATACAAGATGCCTCCTCCATCTCATCCTCAATATCGAGCCCATGAATTGGGCATGAAGTTGGTAATGTACCATAAAATTTTATATTCTTCCTTTCGGTAAAAGGGCTCTTAATAGAATAATGATATAGCATAAAAAGTCTAGAAATATACCTAACTTACGTGAGACTATAGTAAACTGTGGCATCTCAAACAAAAAGAAAAAATGGGTTCAGTAAATGATAATAGAACAACTGTGAAGCCGTCTAAAAAATTAAAGTTGATTCTCTCACATCTATACCAAAATAAATTCCAGGTAGACCAGATATTTAAAAGAGAACATTGAAACCGTAAAATCTGAAAGAAAACACAGGAGAATTTTTGATAATTTGAATAGGAAAGTCCTTTCTAAACAGGACTTGAAACCAGAAGCTGTTATAAAAAGACTGATAAATTTGATTATTAAAAATTAAACATTTCTGAGGCAACTTGGGTGGCTCAATCAGTTAAGCATCTGACTCAATTTCAGCTTAGGTCATGATCTCAGGGTTCTGAGATCACACCCTGTGTCTGGCTCCATGCTAGGCATGGAACCTGCTTAAGATTCTCTTTCCAGGGATCCCTGGGTGGCGCAGCGGTTTGGCGCCTGCCTTTGGCCCAGGGCACGATCCTGGAGGCCCGGGATCGAATCCCACATCGGGCTCCCGGTGCATGGAGCCTGCTTCTCCCTCTGCCTGTGTCTCTGCCTCTCTCTCTCTCTTTCTCTCTGTGACTGTCATAAATAAAAAAAAAAAAAAAAAAAAAAAAGATTCTCTTTCCAAATGAATACCTACTGTTTATGTTGATGTGGATGGAACTGGAAGGTGTTATGCTGAGTGAAATAAGTCAATCGGAGAAAGACAATTTTCATATCGTTTCACTCATGTATGGAATATAAGAAATAGTGAAAGGGAAGAGGGGAAACTGAGTAGCGAAAAATTAGAGAGGAAGATAAACCATGAGAGATTCCTAACTCTGGGAAACAAAAAAAGGGTTGTAGAAGGGGAGGTGGGTAGGGGGATGGGGTAACTAGGTGATGGGCATTAAGGAAGGCACATGATGAGATGAACACTGGGTGTTATACTATATGCTGGCAAATTGAATTTAAATTTAAAAAAAAGAGGGGATCCCTGGGTGGCTCAGTGGTTTAGCACCTGCCTTTGGCCTAGGGCCTGATCCTGGAGTCCCGGGATCTAGGCATCACGGGATCAAGTCCTTCACTGGGCTCCCTCCATGGAGCCTGCTTCTCCCTCTCCCTGTGTCTCTGCCTCTCTCTCTCTCTCTCTCTCTCTCTCTGTGTGTGTGTCTCTCATGAATGAATAAATAAAATCTTTAAAATAAATACATTTTTAAAAAAGATTCTCACTTTCCTTCACCCTCTCCCTCTGCCCCTCCCCCCCCAAGAAAAAAAAAATTAAGCATTTCTGTGTGGAAAAGAAAAACCCCATAAGTAAGTCAAAAGATAATAAGCCTGAAGAAAATATTGTATTTGTAATTTAAATTAATAAGAAGTAATTTCTCTAATATATATATATAGAGAGAGAGTTCCTACAAGTCAATATGAAAAAAATACTAATTAATTAATAACAAGTGTTCAGAAATCAGGAACAGACAATCCACAGAAAAGGAAACACAAGTGATTTTTAATCTAAACATAAGAAAAATGCTGGCCCTTGCTCATAACAAAAGTAATGCAACTTAAAGCTACAAAATAGTATTTTCTACCATCTGGCAAATAACAAAATGTTTGATAATATATATTGGATTGGTGAAAAAATACACAGAGTTACTAAAACATCATTGATGAGACTATAAGTTGATTTGATCTCATAACAATTTGTCAATATCCATCAATATATAAAATGCACACACCCTTCTGGTCAGCATTTTCACTTCTAGATATTTATCCTCCATAGATATTTTACATGTGTACAAAGATGTATGAGGATACTTATAGAATTATTTATAGTAGCAAAAGATTGGAAACTACCTAAATGCATATTAGTAGGGGAATAGTTAGGTAAATTAGTCTACCTCTGCAGTGAAATGGATAAATTTGTATGATCATATCTGAAAGAGCAAGGTTTGGAACAGTGTCTATGTTGCCACTAAATGACCACAGTGATGGAGTAGGATATACTGATACAGATACACACACATCTGGTTATGTGCATATATTAGTTCTGAAAGGATATACAAAAAATTGGTAACAATAATTTTCTCTAGAGTGATCAGGAAAGCTCCCTGTCTGACTTATTTTGACATGTGCATTCATTATATTTTTTAATCAAAGGACTCTTAAAATGAAGAGATTCGAACCTCCCTTCCCTTTCCTTTGTCTGAGACCATGCTGAATTCATTTATCATTTCTGTTAGACAGAAAGCTTTTATAAGTCTTTTTTTTTTAAGCAAGTAAGAAATAAGTTTAAATTTCTGGTTTTATAATCAGCAAAAAAAGAAATCTCTTTAAAGAGAACAAGAATCTTTGTTTTGTATTATTTGCTTTCCCTTTATAATTTTTAGTAATCTATAGAAATTGAAAAACTTGAAAGTCATCTGATTTTTTCATAAAATTCAAAGTGTTATAGATGTCCGTATGCCCATATATCCAGTTACTAGTTCTTGAGTGTGGCTAAATGAAAAGAAAATAACTTAATAATGAAAATTCTGTCTATTCCATCTAGGCTCACGGATTTGAGATCTTATGCTCCAAATGTAGCCCACATTTTTCTGAATCCAAGAAATCCTTCATGACTACCTCGCCACTCTGGGCTGGCTTCCTTGAAAGTCTGAAAAAGAACAATTACTTTAAGGTAGGACTTGCAATGCATTTATAAAATTGTACAATCCAGGGAAAATCAAGCCTATAAATTAGAGTCCTAAGGTTCAAATTTAATGTGTAATATTGTTATAAAGGCTTGAGTTAAAAGGGACTATTATAGTTCGGTGTTAATGACAGGGTGACCATGAACTGTTTCCAGTATTTTAGAAAAGTTATTAACATTTATGCAAATGATGAAAGTTATTATTTGTATCAGAAGAACAACTTATGCAAATCATAGGCAAACATGAAGATACCAAACAGAAAAATGAACAAAGACATGGCTTAAAAAAATTCAAAAAGACAACTAATAAATTTCTCTTAAAATATTCACTCTCTAGGTGCCTGGGTGGTGCAGTTGGTTAAGTGCCTTCAGCTCAGGTCATGATCCCATGGTCCTAGGATCAAGCCCCGCATCAGGTTCCCTGCCCAGTAGAGCATCTGCTTATCTCTGCTACTCTGCATCTCTGCCCATCCATGCTCTCTCTCTCTCAAATAAATAAACAAAATCTTTAAAACAACAATAATTCAAAAAAAAAAATTCATGGGCACTTAGGTGGCTCATTCAAATAGGCATATATCTTTGGCTCAGGTCATGATCCCAGGGTCCCGCTCAGCAGGGAGTCTGCTTCTCCTTCTGCCCCTCCCCCCCTGCTCAAATGCTTCCCTTCTGTCTCAAATAAATAAAATCTTAAAAAAGAATTTTTTTTTAAATAAAAAATTGGGGATCAGTGGTTTAGCGCCTGCCTTTGGCCCAGGGCGGGATCCTGGAGTCCTGGGATTGAGTCCCGCGTCGGGCTCCTAGCGTGGAGCCTGCTTCTCCCTCCTCCTGTGTCTCTGCCTCTCTCTCTCTCTATGTCTATCATAAATAAATAAATCTATAAAAAAATAAAAAATTTTTCCTCTTAAGTAGTAAAGATATACATATGAACACAGTAATAAAGACTTTTTCACATATGTGAAAAAGAATTTGTATGATATTTAGTGCTATTGAAAGTGTAGTGAAGGGACACCTGGATGGCTCAGTCAGTTAAGCATCTGCCTTTGGCTCAGGTCATGATCCCAGGGTCCTGGGATTGAGCCCTGCATCAGGCTCCCTACTCAGGAGAGAGTTTGCTTCTCCCTCTGCCCCTCCCCCTGCTCATGCTCTTGCACTCTCTCTCTCTCTCATATTCTCTCAAATAAACATATAAAATCTTTTTTTTAAAAAAAGAATATGGTGATATAAGAACAGGCATTTCTCCAAAGAAGACATACAGAACGCCAAAAGCTACATGAAAAGATGCTCAACATTACTTATCTTCAGAGAAATGCAAATCAAAGGTCACAATGAGATACCACCTCACAGCTGGCAGAATGGCTTAAATCCAAACACAAGAAACAAGTGTTGATGAGTTTGTGGAGAGAAAAGAACCCTCGTGCACTATTGGTGGGAATGCAAACCGGTACAGCCACTGTGGAAAACAATATGGAGGTTTCTCAAAGAATTAAAAATAGACTTATTATATGATCCAATAATTCTACTACTAGGTATTTACCCAAAGAAAATGATAATGGGGGATCCCTGGGTGGCGCAGCGGTTTGGCGCCTGCCTTTGGCTCAGGGCGCGATCCTGGAGACCCAGGATCGAATCCCATATCGGGCTCCCGGTGCATGGAGCCTGCTTCTCCCTCTGCCTATGTCTCTGCCTCTCTCTCTCTCTCTCTCTGTGACTATCATAAATAAATAAATTAAAAAAAAAAAGAAAATGAAAATGGTAATTCAAAGGGATACATGCAGTGTGTTTATTGCAGCATTATTTATAACCAAGATGATTTATAGCCAAGGGGAGCAACCCAGTGTCCTATCAATAGATGGAAGATGTGAGATAAATATATATATATGAACATTACTCAGCCATAAAAAGTAATGAAATCTTGCCATTTACAACAACATGGATGGATCTAGAGGGTATAATGCTAAGTGAAATAAGTAAGAGAAAGTCAAATACCATATGATTTTACTCATGGAATTCAACAAACTAACCAAATGAACAAAAGCAAAAAGAGACAAAAGATGGACTCTTAGCTATAGAGAATAAACTGTTAATTACCAGAGGGAAGGTAGGGGGATGAGGAAATAGATGAAGGGGATTAAGAATACACTTCTGGTGATGAGCACAGAGTAATGTATAGAATTGTTGAATCACTGTATTGTACGCCTGAAACTAATACAACACTGTTAACTATGCTGGAATTAAATTTTTTTTTAAATTTGAAGATATAAAGACTAGCAATATGGAAAAGTGCTTATGATATTATAGTTTATTTATGAAAGAATAGAAAATCTTAAGTGTGAATGCCAAAAGAAACATACATGTGAAAAGCAGAAATGGTAAAGTAGGATTCTTTTGGGATGCCTGAGTGACTCGGTGGTTGGGCGCCTGCCTTCGGCTCAGGTAGTGATCCTGGGATCGAGTCCCACATCAGACTCCTGTGGGGAGCCTGCTTCTCCCTCTGCCTGTGTCTCTGCCTCTCTCTCTCAGTCTGTGTCTCTCATGAATAAATAAATAAATCTTTAAAAAAAAATAAAGTAGGATTATGCTATTTTTTGGTTCTATTTGTACTATGTTTTATAAATTAATTACTAATCAATTATTTCTTAATAACTAATTAAATATTAGAAAATGATAGCAAATCTTCCAAATTGGAAAGAGGTCCTTAATATGAAAGGATTAGGAACTACTGCATATAGCCTAGTCCCCTTATTTGGAGAAACTGCCCAAAAAAAGTACATTAATAACAAAACGGGGATTGGACTCAAGCCTCATGATTCTTGAATATCACACTTGCCTCCCTGAAAATTGCTGGTGAGCAGATTATTTTAATGATACCATGTAAATAATGTTCTGAAAGGCCTTTTTTCTTTTTATCTTTTTTTTTTTTTAAGGGACTGATAGAAGGTTCTGCTCAGTACCAGGCAAGGCTAGAAATGGCAAAGAACTACTTCCAACTCTCAGTAAATCGGCCAGAAAGGTGAGTTTATCACTACCTAACTATGGCAGCAGAGTGGTAACCTGCCAGAAGTTAAGGTGTTCCTCACCCTTAAGATAGTTGCAGAAGTTGCGGTTGCCATATTTAAAGAGTTAATGATAAAGATCAGGGCTGAAGTGGGGGAGAGGAGGTGTTGCTACAGAAGATCACTGGAGGGACGCCTGGGTGGCTCAGCAGTTGAATGTCTGCCTTTGGCTCAGGGCATGATCCTGGGGTCCTGGGATCACATCCCATATTGGGCTCCCTGTAGGGAGCCTGCTTCTCTCTCTTTGCCTGTGTCATTGCCTCTCTCTCTGTGTCTCATGGATAAATAAAATCTAAAAAAAAAAAAAAAAAAAATCACTGGATTTGGCACCTGTTATTACTGTCATCATCATCATCTAATGGCTAACATTTACTGGTACTTACAAAGTGTAGGCTACTTTATTTATTTATTTATTTATTTATTTATTTATTTATTTATTCATTTTTATGTAGGCTACTTTAATTTGTTAACTCTTACAATCCTATAAAGTAAGTATAATTATTATCGTTCTCTATTTACACTAGAGAAACTAAGCCAAGAGAGATTAAGTAGTTTGCCAAAGGTCAAACAGCTAATAAGTGACAGATACAGGATTTGAACTTAGGCTGTCTAATATTGAACATATATATAATTCCTATAGGAGCCCTTGGCTGTGTCTAGCTACTTTTAGGTAGGTCTGAAATATAGGATAAAGCAGACATTCAGCTTTCAAATCACTTTTCATTCTGACCTGCCTACATTTTCTGGGAAAAGAAAGAAATGAGCATAAGGTTGGGAGGAAATGGCACCCCTTTAAAATTTAATTAAGTGGAATTCTTTTTTTTTTTAAGATTTTTATTTATTTATTCATGAGAGGCACACACAGAGAGAGAGAGACAGAGACATAGGCAGAGGGAGAAGCAGGCTGCCTGCGGGGAGCCTGATGTGGGCCTTGATCTCCAGACCCTGGGCAGAAAGTAGATGTTCAACTGCTGAGCCACCCAGGTGTCCCAAAGTGAATTCTTATAATGATGGAGTAACATATCTGACTAACCCCCTTGCTAATTGTAATTATAAACTCTGGACAGAAATATAAGGAACAATTATTTGAAGACAATAAAACAACAAAATAAGGCAAAAATTGAAGGAAATAGGACCCTAAAAGAAGAAGATCACAATGGATAAGGTGCACATTATCCCCCCTGACAGTGCAGCGCCAAGGGAAAAATAGAGCTCTAGGGCAGCCCAGGTGGCTCAGCAGTTTAGCACTGTGTTCAGCCCAGGGCCTGATCCTGGAGACCCGGGATCGAGTCCCACGTTGTGCTCCCTGCGTGGAGCCTGTTTCTCCCTCTGCCTGTGTCTCTGCCTCTCTCTCTCTCTCTCTCTCTCTCTCTCTCTCTCTCTCTCTCTCTGTGTGTGTGTGTGTGTGTCTCTCATGAATAAATAATCTTCAATAAATAAATAAATAAAATAAAATAAAATCTTAAAAAAAAATAGAGCTCTAGTAGAAAGCTTCAGTCCTACTAAGCTCAGGAATCAAAGGTCACATTTTGAATATTGAAAAAAATGCAATTGATGTTAGCAAAATTGAATGAGATACTCAAAGCTATTGAATAACATGAAAGAATAGTTTTGTATATATTACATTTAAAAGGTCCCAAGTTGTGTGTGTTTTTCATTTTGTTGGCTTTTTTTTTTTTCCAAGTGAAATTTACTGGTCTTGACCTCCAGTCATTTTGCTTATGTCTCAGACGTCACTTATTTATGTTCTTTGAGGACTGATGAAGCAAAGTTGATGCTGAGAGAACTCTAGCCTCAGTTGTCTATGAGATAATAATGACTTTACAGCAGTCCTTTCTTTCAGGAGTGTCTGTGTATGCCTTTGTCCCATTCCCATCAGTTTTATGGCAGTAATTGGTGATAAAAAGAGAATTCATTATTAGGGTATCATTTCAGAAAACATGGGAAAGAGAGGGGAGTAAAATCAGTGGCCCCTCATGGTTAGAAGAATCTCCCTCAGATGATTCCCATCTGCCTGAAAGGGCCACTCTGCCTATGGAGAAGTTACCTTACAGACCTGGGTTAAAGAAATGTTAAGAAATTAGACAGACTCATATTAGTTAGGGCTCCTTGCACAAAACAAGATAGATTGGTGGCTGGGTAGCTTTTTTAAAATAATGACGTTTGTTGTTATAAAAGTAGCACATTCATTCATTATAGCAAATACAGAAAGATATAATAAAGAAAAAATTTATACCAGAGAGTCAACCACTATTACCATTTTTATCTACTGCCTTCCAGGATTCCCCCCCCCCCCCATATCCATCTAGTTATTTTTAAAACATTTTTATACTATATAAAAATTTGTGTCCTGTCCCTAATTTTTACTCATTATAATCTTACTTTTCCCCATGACATTAAAAGGTCTTTATAAGCATAATTTTAAAGAGCTCCACAACATTTCAACAAATTGATGTATCATAACTTACCACATTTTTACTACTGGAGAAAGAATTATAAGTAACTTACATGGCCAGCATTTTAAGTAGTGTTGCAAAAGAGACTCCCATTCCTCAAACAAGGAAAACTTCTCAACAGTTTAAAACCAAACTCACATCTCCCACCAAAACCTATTCTTGAATTCCCAGTGTTGTTGTTGTTTTTTAAGTACCTGGATTAATATCATAGACTGTTTCCCACTTCTTGTCACCTAGACTCCCTGGCCCTCCTTGTATCCAGTCCCTTGATCCTTTTTATTATCATGTTGTATCTCGCATTTTTCTTTTTTTACCACCCACTTACTCTAATTACTTCTTTTTCTTTTTCTTCTTTTTCTTACTTCTTGAATTATCGCAATACCTACACTTGTTTCCTAACCTCTAATGACTCTTCTCTTCCAAAGCAACCATTAGAGCCAGGAGAATATGCCTGAAATATATCTTCAATCATCTTTAATCCCTTTCCTAAAAATTATTAGATTGTAACAATGAAAAATTGAACAATATAAGTATCCATCAATAGTAGATAAATGAATTGCAATGTATTTGTATGATGGACTACTATCCATTAGTTAACCAGAGATTAGCTAAATGTACGTAAATCTAATCCAGGATTTCTCAACCTTGGCACTGTTGACATTTTGGACCAGATAATTCTTTGTTGTGGAGAACTGTTCTGTGCATTATAGGATATTTAGCAACATCCCTCACTTCTACCCAGTAAATGCCAGTAGCACTCCACGCCACCTCCAGTTGTGACAACCAAAAATATCACCAGACATTGCCACATGTCCTCTGGGAGCAAAATTATCCCCAGTTGAAAACCACTGATCTAAATAAATAGATTTTGAAAACATGATGTTGAGTGAAAAAAGCAAGTTGTAAATATGTAGAGTATGGATGTTATACATATAAAAATGTTTAGTACACAAAATGCCATATGTTATTTATGGATATGTATATATCCATTCATTCAACAAATATTTGTTGAGTATCTCTTATGTATGTATCTCCCCAATTCCAGGCACTGGGGATATAACAGGTGAACTGGGAGTCTCCCTGACTTATGAAGCTTATATGCTAGTGTAGGAGAAAGACAATAGATGTTAGATGGTGATAAGTGCTTTGAAGTGAAAACAGTATATGAGGAGAGGGATGAACAGGCTGCTATTCTAAACATTGATTGGTTGATTGATTGATTGATTGATTTAGAGAACACAAAAGGAAAGAGGGGGAGAGGAAGAGAGAGAATCCGTAAGCAGACTCTGTGCTGAGTGTGGAGCCTGATGTGAGGCTCAGCTGCATGACACTGAGATCATGACCTGAGCTAAGACCAAGAGTACGTCCCTTACCCAACTGAGCCACCCAGGTGCCACTAGGATGTCTGAGATTCTGTTTGAGAAGGGATATAAATGAAGTGAGGGAATGAGGCATACAGTTATCTGAAGGAATAAAATTCCAGAGAAAGAGAACAAACAGCAAACACAACATAAATACATGTGTGTGCACTCAATGGACCAGAAGGATATTTGCAAGAGCAGTCACCTCTGGGCAGTAATGAAATGGATTAGAACTGATAGTGTTGGTTATCAAAGGAAAAATATTAGCTGTAACTATAGTCATATATATCATTTGTTTAATTTTTTATGCTAAATATATAAGGGTAATCAGTCATACCTTTAGAAGTAAGTATAACAATATAATTCTAGGTAGTAGGGATATGATCATTTGTTATATAATCTTTTTTTGTGTGTCTTTTGGACTTGTCTATATTATTTAAATCTCTTAAAACAAAAATTAAAAATAAAAAAGAAGTCATCAGTGATCACCCACGGCTTATTTCATTGAGTCCAAACTTAGCCATTTCAGGCTCACTGTGCTCTCATCCCAGTCCATCTGTTCAGCTCATCCTCCATGCTTATGCCAAACTGAACACCATTTGCTTTGTGAACACACTCTGTACTTCTTTGCTTTTATACAGATGCTCATTTCCCCCTTTGCCTGAAGTTCTTCTACCCTGTCTTATTTGTCAAAATCTTCCCTGTTTTTTTTTTTTTTTAAAGATTTATTTACTTAAAGAGAAAGGGAGAGCGTGTGTGAGCCGGGGGAGGGGTAGAGGGAGAGGGAGAGAGAATCTCAAGCTGACTTCCCGCTGAGTGCAGGGCTCAATCTCATGACACAGATCATAACCTGAGCTGAAATCAAGAGTTTGGACGCTTGGGACGCCTAGGTGCTCAGCGGTTTAGCGCCTGCCTTTGGCCCAGGGTGTGATCCTGGAGTCCCAGGATCGAGTTCCGCATTGGGCTCTCAGCATGGAGCCTGCTTCTCCCTCTGCCTGTGTCTCTGCCTCTCTGTGTGTGTCTCTCGTGAATAAATAAATAAAATCTTACAAAAAAAAAAAAGAGTTGGTTGCTTACCGACAGAGTCACCCAGGCAGCCCCCACCCCATTCTTTAAGGCCTAACTCAACTACTTCCATGGTCTTTATCATTTTTTTAAAACTTTTCTGTAGTTAATATGATTAATTACTTTCTCCTGTGACTCTTCACAGCATTTGGTCCAACTCTATGACTGGCGTTCCATATGACCTGCTGCAGAACCAAAGGTTACTTGGATACATGTAACCAGTGGATACATCTCTGAACCTCCATACTCCATTTTAGTCTCAGCAGTTTTTCTTTTTCAGCTTTATTGAGATATAATTGAGGAACAAAATCATAAAATATTTAAAGTGTACATCATGGTGACTTGATATATGTACACATGGATCTAGTTAATTGGCAGTTCCATCACCTCTCATATTTATCTTTATGGTGGGCAATGAGAACATTTAAGTTCTACTCTCTGAGCAGATTTCAATTATATGATACAGTGTTATCAACTATAGTCACCATGCTTTAAATTAGATCCTTAAAGGTATTTAGAAACTTTGTACATTTTTACCAACCTCTCCTTATTTTCCTCACTCCTTAGTCCCTGGCAACTACTTTTCTACTGTCTCTATGAGCTTTATTTTATTTTTGAGATTCCACATATGTGTGATACCATGTGGTATTTATCATTCTCTATTTGGTTTATTCCATTAGCATAATGCCCTCAAGTTCAATCCATTTCACAAATAACAGTATTTCCTTCTTTCACATACGTATTTCTCTAGATAATATTACCTTTTATTTAATATAGCACATCTCCTTTATCCAACCATTGGTAAACACTAGGTGGTTTCCATTATCTTAGCTGTTGTGAGTAATGCTGCAGTAAAGGGAATTGCAGGTATCTCTTCAATATTCCTTTTTCATTTCCTTTAATATATACCCAAAAGCAGAATTGCTGGATCGTATGGTAATTCTATTTTTAATTTTTTAAGAAACCTCCATACTGTTTTTCATAGCAGTTGTACCAATTTACATTCCCACCAACAGTGCATGAGGATTCCCTTTTCTCCACATCCTTACCAACTCGCTTATCTTTTTGGTAATAGCCATTCTGACTGGTGTGAAGTGAGGTCGTATCTCATTGTGATTTTGATCTGTATTTCCTGATAATTAGTGATGTTGAGTGCCTTTTCATGTACCTGTTGACCATTTGTACATCTTTGGAAAAATATTTATTCAGGTCCTCTGCCCATTTTTAAATCAAATTGTTTTTTACTATCGAGTTGTGTGAGTTCTTTATATATTTTGGATATTAACCCTTCATCAGATGTATGATTTTGCAAACATTTTCTCCCATTCAGTAGGTTACCTTTTCAGTTTGATGATTTCCTTTGCTGTACAAAGCGGTTTTCTTTGAGCTCTTTTTATATTTTAGAGTTCCTGGTAAAATTTTATTTGAGAAAAAGGGGTCTGTAACCTAAAACAATTGTTTAAAAACAAATTAGATTAGATAATTCCTCCCAGCCTTAAAATACTATTTTTTGTGACTATTATTCAGCACTGTCTTATGAAAAAATCCCTATGTCTTTTATTTTTTTTTTTATAGCTCTCTTGCTATGAGCCCAGGTGAAGAAATCTTAACCTTATTACAGACCATGCCATTTGATATAGAAGAGCTTAAGAAGGAAGAAGCTAATCTTCCCCCAGAAGATGGTAAGTGATGGACCAGGATAGAGTTAGGATTAGGGAAAATGAAAATATTCCACTAAGTCTCACAGGGCACTTCTCTGAGAATACTTGACATGCGAGTTTGGTATGGCGGCATCATGTTTTCTTCTTTTTCAGATGACCAGTGGTTAGATCTCTCACCAGATCAACTGGACCAACTACTGCAGGAAGTTGCTGGCAAAAAAGAAGCAGAGCCCATTTCCAAGAAGGAAGAACAGAACTATGACTTAAATCAAGTCTCAGAAAGTATGAAAGCTTTCATATCCAAAGTCTCAACTCACAAAGGAGCAGAGCTGCCTCGGTAATTTGTGTTAGAATATAAATATCTGGGATCCCCGGGTGGCGCAGCAGTTTGGCGCCTGCCTTTGGCCCAGGGCGCGATCCTGGAGACCCGGGATCGAATCCCACTTTGGGCTCCTGGTGCATGGAGCCTGCTTCTCCCTCTGCCTGTGTCTCTGCCTCTCTCTCTCTCTCTCTGTGTGACTATCATAAATAAATAAAAATTTTTTTAAAAAAAGAATATAAATATCTAAGTAGCTAGAATGCAGGTGTTGAAGTCATCTAGTCATTGCCATTTCCACCCTTTTATTTTTCTTTTCAGTAAATGATTTGTACTGCTGTGTTTCTTCTTTTGGTGCCTAATACCATGATGAGTTATCTGGAGTTGTATTTCTAATAGCCTGATTCTTTGCAATTCTTAAAGTAAGTCAGACTACTCAACAGATCTAAAAGCTTCCATCCCAGAGCTGTGCAAGGAAATCGTACATTTTACTCTCTAAACTTTTACTCAGAATCTTACGGACTCCTAACATCTAGCTCTCAGCAAATCCACACTTCCAATCTCCCACCCCTCAAGCAGATTGGAAGCTTCATATTCAAAAGAGGGAGATTAAAGAGCTCATCAGAGAAGAAATAATAACAGAAGAAATGGGAAGTTACATTTGGCAAGTAATAGAAAAGTAAGGTAGATGGAATTGTCACTTAAACAGCAAATATATCTTTATTCGTGTTGATGCTCTTGAGAAGATTAAAATTTATATTCTGTATTCTCTCTTTAAGAAAAGAGATTGGGTAGGGGGACGCCTGGGTGGTTCAATCAGTTAAGTGTCCAACTCTTTTTTTTTTTTTTTAATAAAGATTTTATTTATTTATTCATGAGAGACAGAGAGAGAAAGAGACAGAGACACAGGCAGAGGGAGAAGCAGGCTCCATGTAGGGAGCCCGACGTGGGAGTTGATCCCGGGTCTCCAGGATCATGCCGTGGGCTAAAGGCGGCGCTAAACCATTGAGCCACCCGGGCTGCCCAAGTGTCCAACTCTATCTCAGCTCAGGTCTTGATCTCAGGGTTGTGAGTTCAAGCCTCCACACTCAGTGTGGAGCCAGCTTTTAAAAAAAGAAAGCAGAGATAAGAGAAAGTATGTTCTTACTTTTAAAAGTTTAGTTCTTAAACAAATAGACTTTCTTAAAATTAACTCAGATATGTGATTTCGCCTGCTGATGGTGTGTGTGTGTGTGTGTGTGTATCTTGTGGGAAGTGCAGGGTGGGTAGGTCCCTGAATCAGCATAAGTTAAATATGCATAAACAAAGTGAAATTTTACTTTTATTTATCAGTCTTTCCTATTTCTTTTGCTTTGCAAGACCATTTAAACTACAGTTTTTCTTGTTCCACTTATTTTGAGATCATATATCTATGGTAGTGTTCCTAAGAATGGCACTGTCTTTAAAAAAAAAAAAATGCCAGAGAGTTGTATTTCAAGATAAATGATTTTTTTCCTTTAATCTTACAGAGAACCTTCTGAGGCTCCAATCACTTTTGATGCAGATTCTTTTCTTAATTATTTTGACAAAATTTTAGGTAAGTTACATTGTGATGTTTATTTTCATTTTGAAATGGTAAATAGCAAAGCTGTTGCTAGAGCACTGGAGCATTGGATCTCTTGAAGTCAGAGTATTTGCTTTTGCCTCATGATTTTAAATTGTTTTCAATCATAAACTTCTGCCCAGTTGAATGATTTTGCAGAGGATGCTTAGCTCAGTGCCTAACATACTAGCTGCTCATTGAATATTTGTTGAATGAGTGAATGCTGTGGCTAGATATGGTTTTACCTTGGGTTCCATGTTATACTGTTTTTTCTCTTTTAAACTTACTGTACTTAACCCTAATAATAAAAAGACAAATAGCCCAATTTTTTTAAAGATTTTATGTATTTATTTCATGAGAGAGAGAGAGGCAGAGATGCAGGCAGAGGGAGAAGCAAGACCCCCCCAAAGGGGAACCCGATGTGGGACCCGATCCCAGGACCCTAGGATTACACCCTGAGCCAAAGGCAAATGCTCAACCACTGAGCCACCCAGGCATCCCTAAATAGCCCAATTTAAAACAAAAACAAAAACAAAGAATATAAATAAGCAATGCCTTGAAGAAGAAATATAGACAAATAAATATTGGAAAATAGTTAACTGTTTCTAATAAGTAAATACACAATGCAAAATAAGAACTTATTTTTTTGCTTATTATATTGGCAAAGGCTTAAAATATTCACAATACTGAGTTTTCTCAAGAGTTGAAGAAATGAGCACTGTCAAACCACTTCCATGAGTGTGGAAGTGTAGGATTTTTTTTTACAGGGCATTTTGGTACTCTAGAGAGTTTATAACCTTTGACATAGAAATTTCACTTCCAGGAATTTTCTCTATGAAAAAGACACATATATGCTAAGATGGTGATTACATCATTGTAGTAGCAAAAAATGGGAATGTCCTAAATATCCATGGAAAAGGAAATGGTTAAATAATTTATAGTACATCCATATTATTAAATATTGTGCGATCTTAAGAAAAATTGAAGCCCATCTGTATGTTTTCACAAAGGACTTCTAAGACATAAATAAGTAGAAAAGCAAACCATTGTTCAATATGTATAAATATGTAAAAAAAATAATTATTTTTTAAAATTATGTTTTTATACATATGTACAAAACTGCATAAAGGCTGGGTACCCAGGGATGCTTAACTCTGGGAAGAGAATTAGATGTGAGATACTAATAACTCTGTATGGCTTGAAATTTATATCAAAATAATTCATGTATTTTGTAGCTTTTAAGTTTTTTAAGTAAAAAATTTTTGTAACCAAATTCATAATTTAAAAAAAGCTAAATTTTTCAGCTCAGCCTGTATACTTTTCTGGAAATATCAGCCTGCAGTACCATTTTCCAGAAGGGATTTTTATGAAGTAATTTACCTCTGTTTATTGGTCCTTTTCTGCAGATAATATTTAATTAACTCTTTGGAGAGGTATAATCACTCAAAAAATTACTATATGGCTCTTTCTGTGTTGGGGTCTGTGTAGGGCCAAGTCCTCATGAATCAGACTCCGATGATCTGGATGAGGAAGACTTTGAATGTTTAGATAGTGATGATGACTTGGATCTTAAAACAGAGGAGGCTGGGGAAGAAGCATCTGTAAAAGGTACTCTTAGTAATCTCAAGTCATACATGGCCCAGATGGACAGGGAATTGGCATATACCAACATTGGCAAAAGTTTCACCACCCAGAAGCAAATGGTATGTGTGAGTTTAACCTCTCCCTCTGTCTAAATATCTTACTGTTATGAAGGAGAGCTGAAATTATATTTTATCTTAGTTTTCCTTTTCTTTCCTTTTTTTTTTTTTATTTGTGATCCTTTTTTGGTGATGATTTTGATTTTTTTTAAATTTGAAATAAATAAGAATGTAAGATTGTTAATATTTCCCTAACTAATAAGATAAAGGATTATTAATTTTGTTCTCCTAAATATAGTTTAATTACATTACTTCTTCTATGTTATCCATTAGGATTTAAAATAAAAAGTCATGCGATGTGGTCAGACTAGTTTGTAGTTGTTTCTACTGCCAACAGCTTACACAGAGTTTAAAAACAGAAAGGATCTTAAATATCCAAATAATTTTCAAGTCTTAATAGTGTGTTTTGTGTTTTCTCAATTCCAAATAAAGAATTCAGCTTCCACTAATTTTTTTTATCCTAGTTTTTATACCAGCAGTGTCTAACCTGGACCTAATAGACACATGAAATAGAGTGGACTCTCAAATTTGAGGGATTAGGGCTTGAAATCCAGCTCAGCCATCCACTGACTATATCCATGAACTAGTAATTCTTGTCATAGAATTCATATAGAACTAAATGAGACAACAGAAAAATACATAATGTGGCCCTTATCTCAACATTCTTCATCTTGCTTTGATCATCTAAACCACATTTAAACTAAAGTCATTTCCAATATTGCCCAAACCTACAAGAAACCAAGAAACCATGTTAAACTTCTCTAAAGCAGTGTTTCTAAAATATTAGTATGCATATGAGCCATTTAAAGATCTAAGTAAAAGTGAAGTAAAGTAAAATATAGAAAATAAAATGTAGACTGTAGTTAAGTAGATCTGGGCTGAAGCCTGAGATCTTACGTGTCTAACAAACTCCCAAGCAACACACATGCTACTGATTAATGGACTGCACTTTGAATAGACAAGATACTCAGGTCTATAAATCAAGGTACAATCTTTCAAATCCTTTCCCTAACCTGTGAAACCAGAGGCTCAAGTAACAGTTTGGAATCTTTGTGGTTGGACTCCACAGAGCCTCAGGTTTTAAGTTTTTTCATTGGGGGGAAAAAAAGAAATCTAGTTTTTTTTTAATCTAAAAAAATAGATTTTTTTTTTTTTTTTAGCGTTTCTTTTTGCAGATCTCTTAAACTCTTAGGCAACCTATATGTCTCCTTAACCCTGGTTATCTTGGGCTATTTCAAAATAGGGAAAAAATCCAATTTACAAAAGCTTTTCCTAGAAAGAAGTGTGTTATAATCTTTGGAGCCAAATTCTAATATGTGTGTTAAATTGTGAAGTTTTTTAGACTTCATTTTTATTATTCTATCATTAAGGATAAGAAATTTCCTGTTTAATTTAGAATTTAGTTTTACATCGTTGCTTAGTTTTTATTGTAACTACCATCTACCCTAATGGCCTGTTATCCCATGATTTTGTTTTCTCTCTATAAATAAGGAATCTCTATCCCAGACTACCAATAATAATTCGGATGAGGAAGATTCTGGTGCAGGAGGATCTGTTATGACACCAGTGGATGTAGACCTGAACCTGGTTTCAAATATGCTGGAATCCTATAGTTCCCAAGCTGGACTGGCAGGACCTGCGTCCAACCTTTTACAAAGCATGGGAGTACAGCTGCCTGATAACAGTGATCACAGACCCACAAGTAAGCCAACACAAGATTAGCCGGCACACCTAGGCTCTTTTTTTTCTTCTTAAATAAATATTGAGTCTGACTGTGCTCATGTCTAGTTTAGATGACTCATTTAGTAAAAATGTTTCTTCAGTACAAGTTTCACAGGCTAACTTCTCTGTGAGCCCCATATGTTGTCCACTCTGCATAAGTCTTTGTGATCTCATCTTAGGTACATACGAGGTTTTGAAGTCAGCAGAAGAAAGAAGAATCAAGCCCCTAGACAGCCCCTGAGAGGAGATACTCTGTGTTTAGAACTTTTTTTTTGTTTTTAAGATTGATTGATTGATTGATTGATTGATTGATTCATGAGAGACACAGAGAGTGAGAGGCAGAGACACAGGCAGAGGAAGAAGCAGGCTCCACACAGGGAGCCTGATGTGGGACTTGATCCCGGGACTCCAGGGCTATGCCCTGAGCCAAAGACAGGCACTCAACTGCTGAGCCACCCAGGCGTCCCATGTGCTTAGAACTTTAAGTTTATCTTTATTGAGGATTAAAGGAAGAGAAAGGAGAGTGATAGGCAAAAGTGAGAAATGAATGAGTTGCTTTTTTATTCGTTACCAGAAATGACCTTGAGCCAGACTCACTAGTGACAAATACATTTAATATTTTACCTGTTTTTGCTCTTCTGCTTCTTGAACTGGGTGCGCTCTTTTTATTCTTAGCACTTGACACTCATTGCCACATAAATGTTGTCCAGCCAGGCAGGCCCTGTACCAAAGTTCCTTTTATTTATCTGCCATTTTCATTACCCAAGTCCTGTCCTCTTTTGCCACAGCTTTCAGATATCCTTGGAGTTCTTCTTAGAAGCCCTCTTCCACTCACTGCCAGGAAACAAAGTTCAATGTCGCAGCTCTTCTATTAGCCTCTCTCATCTTTTCTTTTCCAAAACAACACATTAATCCAAAAGCAAACAGTTACTCCATGTTAAGTTTGAGAAACTCACAACCAGGAATCCTGCACACTCCCCTTTCTATCAGTATTTTCAGACTGGGGATGTGTACACATGTGCTCACAAACACACCCACAGAGAGACAGAAAAGATTGGGAGATGGTAATACACATGGACCCTGAACTGTTTTCTTCTAACTGCAAGATATGAAGAAATCTCAGGACCTCTCTTTCGAGAGTGCTTTTCCCTTCTACATGCTGGGTTCAGTTCAGGTCAGGGCAAGCTGCCAACCTAACAGGACAATCAAGTCCCATCACATACTATCCCTCAACATTTCCTGATGAAGGCACTTTGATTTCCCCAAAGCACTGATGATTTGCTAGCAATGGCAAAAACAACGATCTTTTGGGATCAAAGGGAAATTCAGTGCTTCATCTTGTCTAGTTCTAGAATAACTTTTGCTTAGTCCTGTACACTTTGATGTGTCTACACATCCAAATAATCTTAGGATCACTGGCACTTGTGTCTTTGCCTAAAATCATCCGAAGACACAACTCTTTCCCAGCCATTCCTTTTCAAACAGACCTCTAACAATATTTCTTCTGCACGTTGCTTCAGTTGTTCCACACTTGAAACCTGGACTTAAATGTTTATCACACTAATAGAGTCCTTTTCTCTCCACCTACCCCTTGCCCCAGATTCTCACTTTCTACAATTTCCTCACTTCATAAGACAGAAAAATACATCTCAGCAAAGGTGTAGAAATTTATTTTATTTCCTCCAGATAAATTCTCCCCTATGACAAGGTATAGAATAACATATATGAATGATGAGTAATCCTAAATTTAGTTTATCCCGTAAAACAAGAAAATGGTTCATCTTCACTTAGCTGAAGTTACAACACATAACTGGATATGCAAATGGCAGTGACCATTTTATATCTAGGAAATCAGAAAAAGTGATTATCTTTTCCATGGGTCACATGCTGAGCAAGTAACAGCAAAAGACTTAGCTATCTTAAGCCCCGCCGGGATGCAGTTATCTCAGCAGAATATCACTGCATCTGATTTATTACAGAGTACTCTGAGGAAGACATTGGCTCCCACTTCCCACTTTCTTCATCCCTTCAGATTACTTAAAGAAATATAACTTTTATTTAAATACCATGTACAAAATAATTACCTGTACACAAGTTGTATAATGTTATATTGTGCTATTTTTCTTAATTCTGTGAGGATGAAAAGTAACTCAGTAGTGGGCTGAGATTTGCTATGTATCTTCAATACTAAGATAAAATTAAAATTATACCGGGCACATTTTGGCAGTTAGTATAAACCCAGCATTAACAAGATACATGCTGAAAGATGTTTGCTTCCGAGGCCTCAGTAAAAATGAGTGAACGGGGGCCTACATCCAAACTAATGCTTCAATCTTCCCTCTGATTTTGAAAATCGTCATCATCAGTTTGCATTCTGATTGCCTATTAATAGGAACTTCCCTAACACTGCTATTAGAGACATCCCATTGTAGGGTCACCTTTCACTCTGCCTTAGTATGAAGTTGGCTTGGAGATGGCCTTTGGTCACCTCCTCTTTATCAACTGATCTCTCTTTTGCCACTCCAGGATAGTGAGAAGGGATCTAGGTGCCTCAATCTGAGCTAAGCCGGCAGGGTAGAGCAGGATGGCTTTTCCACCCATTCCTTAATCAGTTGGTGGGCAATGGCTAACTTGGGGGGCAACCAGAATGTCCCATTCTGTTGCTGAGTATATGGATTATTTCTCCTCAGGGCTGTGGCCACCTCATCATGACTGAACCAGCCAGCTGCCTCTAGTTCTTTCAGGTTCACCTGGATCTAAAAGACATAAGAAAAAAACAGAATGTAAGGCTAGGAGCTACAGAATTTAGGATACTTTGGCCAAAGGTGAGAAAATGTTCCCAGAACTGAGCAATACCTAGGACCTACGGGCTGAGAGATAATCAGTTTTAGCTATTGTGCAGAAGCAAAAGAGGCATAATTAAAAGGTGAGAGTTAAATATATTGTTTTAAATAGTGTAAAAGAAAAAAAGTGCATTTTAAAAATCCTAGAAGCACAAATACTGAAATACTAAAGAGTGGTTAACAGTGAGGTGTAATATATAAATAATTCTGGATTAACTTTCAATTTAAAAAGAACATAAAATTACTCTTCTCTAAAGGATAGGGATAATTAATGATTATCAAAAGCATATGGGACGCCTGGGTGTCTCAGTGGTTGGGTATCTGCCTTCAGCCCAGATCCTGAAGACCTGGGATTGAATCCCGCATCAGGGTCCCTGCATAGAGCCTGCTTCTCTTTCTACCTGTGTCTCTGCCTCTCTCTCTCTCTGTATCTCTCATGAATAAATAAATTAAATAAAATCTTAAAAAAAAAAGCATAGTATCTTCTTTGTAATGCACACTGCAACCACAGGAAGCTGAGACAGATGAGATATTATTCTATGCAAACCAAAACACAATAGACTTTGGCAAGTAGTGACCACACTGCCATCTATCAGGGATGCTACAGAAGAGCAAGACAAGGCTGGATAAGACAATGTCTAAATCCCTTTCGACCAGAAGTTCCTATGATTTCATATAATTAGTCCCCAAAATCCTAACAAACTCAAGCAATAAGACCAATCCTGAAAGCAGTCACTTACTTTGATATACTTATTGTGTGCCTACTCTGCTCTGTTAAGTCCTGATGAAAAATAAATTGCCACATGACTGAGATACATACAAAGAAGAATAGTAACTGCATTGGCACTCTGAATTTCCTTGGAGATTGTTTCCTTTACAAGATTGCAAATTCCTTAAGGGAAAAAATCGTGAATTACACATCTTCATACAAAATAGACAGTGATGGACTAGACAGGTGCCTACTGACCAACTTGGTGAAGCAAAGGGAATATCACAGCATAAGGGAAGCATGAGAACTTACCTCTGTCTGCCCTGGTTTCACAGATGCATGACAAGCAATCATGAGTGAGCTATTAGGAAAAGACCAGTGCTGGGATGCAGAGTACTTCAGTCTTTCCAACTCCAGTCCCACCTCTTCTGCAACTTCTCTCCGGACAGCCTCTTCCAGACTTTCACCTATAAGCACTCAGATTAATTCAGGACAGCCCTGCAGCAGGAAGGGTGATACAGATGCCCATTTGTGAAAGGAGCACAAAACTGGCTCCAAAGTTTCATGAAGTATTCTTGGGAGAGCCTTAAATCCCTGAGCCTCTACAACAACAGGACTCAAGTCTGGAGTTGAGTGCTGACTTAGTTAGTTAGAATGCAGAATAAGTGACAAAGAGGCTACTGCTGACCTCAACTTTAATAAAATTCTAATCCCATGTTTTACATTTTGTAAATTTTACCCCACTAGACTGAGGAAAAAGAAAAACCTATAACTATCTATTGAATTCTAATTAATACAATGCATGCTGAAATATTTAGGGAGAATCATACTAATGTGTGCAAACTATACATCAAAGAATAAAATGAATTGATGGATGGATAGATCCGTGATAAAGTAAATGAAGAAAACAGTTATAGGATCTAGGTGGTGAATGAGTGTCAACTGTATAATTCTTTCAGCTATGCCATATGTTTGAAAACTTGCCTGATATTGGAAAATTCTAATACCAGAAGGCAGTTTTATTGACTTGATAGGGAACAGTATGCTTCAGACTCAAAGCACAACAGCAACAAAACAAAAAAATACCTACAATTGTTAAGCCCTTGTGTCCTCTGGGCATCTGTGCATGCCCTAAACCTCTTACCTATATCACAAAAACCTGCCAAGGCAGAATACGTTCCCTTGAGGAAAGGAACTCTGGCGGGCAAGCAGGCATCGGGTCCCATCCGACACCAGAGTGATCACCACAGGAGCCATCTGGGAAGAGGGGATGGAAATTAGAGATGGGGCCTGTTAATGGGATGAAGGAGTAGATAACTAAGGGAAGCCTTTTAATTATATAGGCCTCTACTACTCCCTGGGCAGACTAGCACACAGTCTTCTTGGATCACTGTCCTTTTAAAGTAGTACTTACCTGTGGATAATAGATGATCTTACTGGAAGGACACACGCGCTTGCTGCCAGCCACATTTTTCTTGGTGGGCTGCCCACTTCTGCTACAGAACTGATGAGCATCATGCCAACGGAGAAGAGCCTGAGCCTAGGAATACAAAGATAGGCTGATTTCCGTTGGAGAGGATGTGGAGCTCATATATAATCAGGTTGGGCCTCGTATTGAGAACAATTCAAAGAGAAAAGCTAATTCCTTTCCAGCTCACCTACTTTTCCCAGTTATTGACTGTTTGAACTTTAAAATAAGGAAACTATCTGAACATACTCCTCTAGCATCTGAAATATGAATAAAAGGAAACCTATTTTAAATGTATTATGAATTATTTTAAAAATATATATATATATATGGGATTCCCGGGTGGCTCAGTGGTTTAGCGCCTGCCTTTGGCCCAGGGCATGATCCTGGAGTCCCGGGATCAAGTCCCGTGTCGGGCTCCCTGCATGGAGCCTGCTTCTCCCTCTGCCTGTGTCTCTGCCTCTCTCTATGTCTCTCATGAATAAATAAATAAAATCTTTAAAAAATAAAAAAACACATATATATTAACTATTATAATAAATGCTCCATGTACTTATGACCCAGCTTAAAAATAAGACATTCCCAATATAGTGAAACACCCCAACACATACGCCTCCCCAATAAAAGTAGAATTTTTATTCAAATAAAAATGTTTAGAGATGTCTTTTTATTTATTTAAAATTTTTTTTAGATTTGATTTATTCATGAGAGACGCAGAGAGGCAGGTTCCCGATGCGGAGCCTGATGCAGAACTTGATCCCAGAACCCCAGGATCACGACCTGAGCCAGAGGTAGATGCTCAACTACTGAGCCACCCAGGTTGCCCTTATTTTTTTATTTATTTTTAAATATTTTATTTATTTATTTGACAGAAAGAGCAAAAGTAGGGGGAGGAACAGAAGGAGAAGCGGGATCCCCACTGAGCAGGGAGCCCGATGTCAGGCTTGACCCCAGGACCCTCGGATCATGACCTGAACTGAAGACAGATGCTTAACTAACTGAGCCACCCAGGGACCCCAGAGAGGTCTTTTTAAATTAAATGAACAACCAGAAGCACTTTAGCAAGTGAAGTGTACAGCTGTGAGGATGTCATTAAAGCAATACAAAGTAACTTCTCATAGGAGTAACATAATGATGCATATGTATATGTCATTAAAAATATGAGGCTGATAGATCATACTGCTATAGATATGCATGTCCTGGGCAGCCCAGGTGGCTCAGGGGTTTGGCGCTGCCTTCAGCTCAGGGCGTGATCCTGGGGACCTAGGATCAAGTCCCACGACAGGCTCCCTGCATGGAGTCTGTTTCTCCCTCTGCCTGTGTCTCTGCCTCTCTCTCTGTGTGTTTTCATGAATGAATGAATGAATGAATGAATGAATAAATAAATAAATAAATAAATAAAATCTTTAAAAAAAAGATCTGCATGTCCTTAGAAGAAAATGGTCCTGCCAAAAATAAGGGCAAAAGAAAGAAGAATAAGCAGTTGGCCTACAGCACACTGTACTGCCAAGGTTTGTAGGAAGGACTGTGATCTATCTGCAGAAGAAGATATCAAATGTCATTCTAGCCTTGTGCATGCATGCCATATATTCACCCGTAAACACTGCTTTACTAAATTTCCTACAGAACTGAGAAGTCAGAATCTACCGTGGTCAGCAAGGAGGCATCCTTTGTGTTCAGCTGAAATAGAGCCTTCCTCAGATCAGTGAAAGAGCCCTTGAGTTCTATCTCCATTTCTGCTTTCTGTAAGGAAGCTAGAAAACGAGAACAGAGGATAAGATGAAACAAACACTAAACTTTGCCTCTCAAGTATGCCTGTTAGAGCAGTCTTTCCCAAACTCACCTAATAATACTCAACCAGGGAAAATAAAAAAAAATATGTAGGTTCTCAAGCCTCTACATAAAGTTTCTGAACAGCAGGTGAGTGAGGCCCAGAATTTTTATGTTTCAACAAGCACTAGGTAATTTCTTATTTTCAGACAAATTTGAGAACTATCAGAGCATAGTATTTCTCAAGATCCTCTTCAGAGGGGTGCCTGGGTACCTGGGCCGCTGAGCCTCTGCCTTTGGCTCAGGGTGTGATCCTGGGGTCCTGAGAGTCCTGCATCGGGCCCCCTATGGGGAGCCTGTCTCTCTCTCTCTCTCATGAATAAATAAATAAATCTTTAAAAAAATATATCCTCTTCAGAGTAATATTTGCATTAGCCATACACTATCCCTGGAAAAGAGGTAAAATGGGACCTCTAAGCTCCTATCTGCATTGCATTCCAGCATCATTACATTTACAACCAGACCTGAAAGAGAAGGAAAGCCTACTAGGAGCCATGAATCTATACCCAATTGGTTCCCAAATGCAGGTCTGAGGACCCTGAGCCACTGCATGGTAATATGTTTACTCACCCAAGGTAAGAATAATGTCATGAATTTTTAAATGTTTCCTATGAAATATTTAAGAAATATAAAATGTATAAAGGTACAGAGAGTAATACAATGAACATTTGCGTACCTACCACCTAACTTAGAAAGTATTAAAATGTTCTCGATTTTTTTTAAATGATGACGACGGTAGATCACGACGGTAGTATTTTTTTTTTTCTTAATGTCCTAACTTAAAAAAAATACAAGGTTGATAACCTTTGGTACTCTCAAAATTTTCTTTGAAATTATGCTCTTACGTGGAATTCCAAAGTCTGAGCACTACTGGGAAATTCCCATTAGGAATAATGTTCTATACCATTTAGGGAAGAGGAGCTATTTAGACCTAGATCCAGAGCAAACCATGCTTCATGCTGTTTGGAGCATCCAATCAGTACCGAGTCTTCTATTCTTTGTGTGTCCTGTCCAAACTTAGCCAGGAGCCTTTCCAACTCTAAGAAAGAGAAAAGGAGAAGGGAAGAAAACAAAGGCTTTCAATTAAATCACGAGCAACCGGGCAGCCCCGGTAGCGCAGCGGTTTAGCGCCGCCTACAGCCCAGGCTGTGATCCTGGAGACCCTGGATCGAGTCTCACATTGGGCTCTCTGTATGATGCCTGCTTCTCCCTCTGCCTGTGTCTCTGACTCTATGAATAAATAAATAAAATCTTTTGAAAAATAAATAAATAAATCACGAGCAACCATATTAACCTTCTAGGAAATCATCTACTTCAGCTTGCAGTAGGTATACCTGCTTCTAGCTGCTGCCCGGCAGCTAATTAGCTATATAATCTTGGTCTAATAATTTAACCTCTCTAGGCCTCCATCTTCCCAATAACAACCTGAAGTGTTTAGACTAAAGAAGGAACTCTAGCTGTGTAACACTGTATTCTATGATTGTATCATGAAAGGAGCATATCCCCTAGTTCAAAAGATACATGACAGTTAATGTATTATGGCACTGAAAAAAAGTGTCATGCTTAAAATGCTAGAAACCAAATCAGTTACATATAATTTAGTCTCCAGATTATGCTGAGTATGTGGGCTAGGGTAGACTATTCATCCAAGATCCCAGTCTGTATAAGACACGTGCTGTACATGGAGAAAATCTGTCCTCCTGTGCATGAAGGACTTATATTTGTTTACAATGCAACATAGCATTGCCTTCTGATGGCATCCTTATATTCTTCTGCACTGCTAGGAACTACCTATTCAAATACTCAACATCTGACCCAGGAAGAAATTCATTGAAAAAAAAAAAAAAAGAAGGAAAGAAATTCACTGGCTTTGTATTTAGAAGTAACTCAATGTATAGTGACATCATATACAACTGAAAGTTGGTACTTTGAATGCCAAATCCCAGTGGCTTATATATCTCTAGTTATATACCCTAAAAGAGTTCTCAAAACAAATTAATTTTAATTCACTTTTGACTCTTCTAGAAGAAATGAAGCCATGATGCAAATCCTAGACATTAGAACAGTATGCAATTCCATGAAGGCTTGGAAATCACTGGTTTAAGCAGGGTTTGGCTTTATAAGTCATGTGTTCTCTGTCACAACTACTCCACTCTGCCACTGTAGTGCAAATACAGCCACAGACAGTATGAAAATGAATGAGCATGGCTGTGTTCCAATAAATATTTACAAAACAAGAAGTGGGTTCCAATTTGGACAGCAGTTTCAATGACCCCTAGTTTATCACCAAATATTTGGGCAGCTCAGGTTTATACACTCAATAATCAGTAGAAAGAGTTTGAAAAATCTGGACTCTAAAGTTGAAGGATTCTTCTCAGGGATCTGATATGGATGAAATTCTGCTTAGTTGCCACAGCCTGATCTACTCTACTGGTCCTCTTTGGGCTTACCTAGTAGGCTATACTGGGGGGCCTGGTACCGTTGTTCTGATTTCTGAAGCAAAGGAGCCAGACTATGAAAGAGGTAAAATGCTCCTGTCTGCTGGGCTTTTTTACATGCATCATCATCTTCTTTCAGTTCAAATAAATACCTGTATTTTGGAAATAAAGCATTACAAAACCACACTTAATTACTTGTACAGCATTCATCTTTCAGAATTCTGTCCTTGCATCGCTCTCCTATCACAGTTATTTCACTTATATCCTAAGTGGCTCTAAAAAGGATTTTAGTTCCTTCCTTTGTGCTACTTACTGTACATCTGGCCCATACCTCTGTGGCTGCACTTATACTATTTGTTAATTTGTCTGTTTCCCCCCAAAAAACTATGATCTCCTTAAGGGCAGGGTCAGCCTTAGTTCTGTATCTCCAGTAATTAGCATACTGAATGCTCAATTCAATAAATAGTTATTGAATTGAACTTCAAGGGTAATAAATATTTACTGAATTGAACCTCAAGGTACTTTGCCAATATTATGCTGTGAGGCAAGAATTTACATGCAGTGGAGTGAAAGGAAAACAAGTACAGTGATAAAACATCAACCACCATCAACCAAATCCCTAGAAATGGGAGCAGACTTTATTATTGCAGATAAAGAGCAAACACTATACCTTAAGTAACACTGTCATTCAATGTAGGGATGATAAAGAGCAGATTTTACCTTAATACATTCCTGCCTCCAACACTAGTCCCCCACATGGACACCCTTAGTTCATTATCTCTACTGAAGAGACTGCTGATGGGAAATAAAGCCTATACTTGACCACACTTATTTAATAAGTATAATATCTTCAATAGCCAAAATACAAATGTGGAAAACACAACATCCTATCATTAGTTTCTCTAAGAGAAATAGCATTGGATCCAGTTCTAGGCTTTTCAAGCACCTTCATTAAGATTAATTTCAAGAGCCTTGGAAACCAGGTCAGGGTCCACGTGATTCAGGGGAACTGAATGTAGATTCTCCTTCTGGAGCCTTAGGGATAACCATTTTTGCCTATTAAAAGCCCTAAACAGACTCAGATTTATGGCAGATTTTGTCACTTATGTAGCCATCACAGTTTAAAGATATTTTCTGTAGGATCTGGGAGCTTTTGTAATACCAACAGAGTTAGCTCAACATGAAACTACAAAGCTAAATGATAAATGTGCCCCAGTGGCATCTTTAGGAACCTATTTTTGACTGTATGATAAAAGGGGTCACAATGAGTTCTTTATAAACACAAGACCAAAGAAACTTGAGATTTTAATACTCAGGGTATTTTTAAACTCATTATAAGTGACTGCAGCTTCCTGGGGCAAAGACTTAATGCATGTCAAAGGAGAGACCTGTGCCACTCAGAAGTTACCAAATATAAACAATAGAACAAACACTGCTGCCTCCTAAAAGAACAGTAAGAGTGGTACAACCTGTGCTTTGCCCTAATGACCCTAAAAAGCAAAACACCTACAAAAACACCCAGGTTAAGGTCTTAAGCCTGGGGCCTCATTGGAACTGGAACCGAGATCCCAAAAGCTCCTTACCTTCTTGATCAGGAACACTAATTTTAAAAATTCATTTCCCCCTTTAGTTATAATAGCAGGGAAACAACTCTAAGATTATCAGACTGAAGCTGTTGTTTTCCTATTTAAAAAAATAAAAAGTCATCCCATAAAAATCAGGAAATACAGTTAGTAATTTGTTCAAAAAAGGGAAATCATCAAGAATCTCACCATTCAGGGATGATCACTGTTCACACCTGGGAATTCTCCAAACTATTTATTGTTTATCTGTACATATATAGGTATATTCAGAATCATGCCTTTTTTCTTTAACATTATTTTCACACCATCTTCTTTATTGATAGAATTTCATTCTAAATGATTGAATGATTCAATTCTAAATGATTTTTTTTTCATTTTAAAACCACTTTAATATAGCCATTTTTAGACTTCTCAATAATTGTTCCATAATTCAATTATTGTTCTTAGAGTCTCAGCCTGAGAACTACAAATAACCTAAATGCCCAACAATATCTACTCTAAGTACAGCAATTTTCTTTTCTCACTCTTGTTCATGTAACACTGTATGCTTATGTGCCTTTAAATTTTGGACTGGGCACTCATGTTTGGCAGAACTTTTCATGTACAAAGCCCTGGTTATGGGTATATCTCTTCAGAGGAGTTTTACATTTGCTTCTGCATAGTGCCCAGGGGTCTTATAAGTCTACAACTACTACTTACATTCTTTTCCTGGGTTGGGGTTTGGGGACCATAACACAGATGGTACAAATTTAAACCCCAAACCATGGGAACAGGCTTGTGATTTCAAATTCACAGATTTCAAATTTGCCCAGGCTATGACAAAGAAGTCCTTTACCATCTTCCTGTAGTGCTGTAGGTTTTGGGTTTTTTTTCTGGTCTACCTTTAACTAGTAGTTTAGTTCCTTAGGGGGTGAGGGGTGAGAGAATTAGAATTATCTACCTTATTTTCAGGAAACTTCATGAACTATTATTATTCAGTAGAGTTTTTAATTCCATCATAGAGATGTGCCATCATTTAATTAATCTCTCCCTTACTGTTGATTCATCCATTCAACAAGCCTCCGATGCCTACCATGCACCAGGTATTGTTTTGTGCACAAGGCGTACCACCATGGAAAACACAAAGTTATTATCTTAATAATATTAAGTATACTTAATATTTAAGCATGTTAGATATTTTAGGTATATTTGAATTTTAGTTAATTTAGAATTTTTTCAATTATAAATAATTTGCAGTGAATATCCTTATATGTATATCTTAATCATGCATCCTTAATCCTAAAAATAGGATTTTGAGATATCTATATTTTATAATTTGGTGGGCCAAAGAGAATAATCAGAGCTCAGGTTGGTCACAACTCACCGGGTCTTAGTGACATAAGTTGACAGCAGCCTATAACACCAAAAAGATTTTTTCCTGCAAGCAATTCCACAATACAGGGACATTGTCAGGTCCTTAGAGAAAAGAGGAGTTAAAAAAAGAAAAAGTCATAGTATGCAATTTAAAGTAATGAATCACCAAGAGAGTTATACTTTAAACCAGACTTTTTAAGATTAAGGAAAGAGAAACTGAATAGGAGTCAGATGATCTGGCTTCTTTTTTTTTTTTTAATTTTTTTTTTTTTTTTTTTTTTTTTTTTTTTTATGATAGTCACAGAGAGAGAGAGAGAGGGGCAGAGACACAGGCAGAGGTAGAAGCGGGCTCCATGCACCGGGAGCCCGATGTGGGATTCGATCCCGGGTCTCCAGGATCGCGCCCTGGGCCAAAGGCAGGCGCCAAACCACTGCGCCACCCAGGGATCCCTGATCTGGCTTCTAAATTGCATTTATACCGCTAATTAGCTATGGGAGTTCAACTTTTCAGTACCTCAAAATTGAAACTTGTTCTGCCTACCTAACAGGTTATTGTGAGAATCCACTATCTACAAAAAATATATGTTCCTTCTTCCATATTGGAGGATTGTTGCTAGAAGGTAGCTGCAAAAAAAAAAAAAAAATAGAAGGTAGCTGCTAAGCCACAGTCTACATTTCTCTCTTATATCTAAGCAGGGCCAAAGGTAGGTCTTAACAATGGAATGTAAGTGGAAGTGATGTATCTCTCCTAGGCTGAATCAGCTAAGAAGTAGGTATGCCTAAGGGGCGCCTGGGTGGCTCAGTCAATTGAATGTCCAATTCTTGGTTTCATCTCAGGTCCTGATCTTGGGGTGATGGGATCAAGTCCCACATCAGGCTCCTTGCATGGAGACTGCTTCTCCTTCTGCCTGTCTCTCTGCCTCTCACTCTGTGTCTCTCATGAATAAATAAATAAAATCTTAAAAAAAAAAAAAAGTACATATGCCTTCTCCATTCTCTTTCCTCCTTCTGCTTGGAAGACTCTGGAATAGCAGAGTCATTGAAATGTAGAAGCCTGGATCCTTGAATCACAACCTAGAGAAAAGCCACCTGCCAGGGCACGTGGTTAGCTCCGGGATTGAGCATCTGCCTTTGGCTCAGGTCATGATCCCGGGTCCTTGGGATGAGTCCTGCATCAGGCTCCCTTCAGGGAGCCTGCTTCTTCCTCTGCTTATGTCTCTGCCTCTCTCTGTTTCTCATGAGTACATAAATAAAATCTTTTTTTTTCATAAATAAAATCTTAAAAAAAAATGCCACCTGCCAACTAAAGACACCCCCACCCCTACTTTGGAATATTTATGAGTAAGAAATAAACATAAGCAACTAAACTTTTGAAGTTTGTTACAGTGGCTAGCATGACTCTAAGAGACCAGGTAAGACCGGGAGTGTCTCCAGAATAATGGGGCTAAGTTTCTTAGAATATTTGAAAACTAAAGTCCCTCTGAGAATGAAGTAAAAGGAATCCTATAGATAAGAAAAATATAAAAATCATGGCCATTTGGAAAACATCTCAAAAGGCAGCTATGCAAATCTACATGAATCTAAGGTTTTTTCTATTTTGTGTATCTCATGAGATGTGAGAGAAAAACAATTCTCTATCTTACAAATTCATTCTACAGAAGATGATTCCTTTTAAATTGTATACCAGTAAGTATTTTATTCCCCATGAAAAGTACATTTCACATTGGCAATAAAAGTCAAGAAGTTCCACTGAAACGAGAAAATCAGTACAGTTAATTAACCAACCACCCTTTTAACTGTGCCCAAGGGAAGCAAGCTTTGACACTGAACAAATTACTGAAGAACATCTAAAGTTTAGGCTTACTTCTTGGTTGCATAATTATGAATCACTGATGACTAATCCTTGGATAGTTTTGGCTACAATCTATGTCCTAGCCAAGGGTAAAATATATTTAGTAAACGACATTCAACAAAAAGTGCTTGTTGAAAACTGACTTTATGCAAGGTCCTTTAAGAAAACACAAAAATGTACTAGATGAAAAACCTGTCAAGGGACTCTAGCAGGAGAGAAAAAACAAACATAGCTTTCCCAGAAGACAACATGTGATATGTGGGTTATAAAGCATTCTAGGAGAATATTAAAAGCGTAATTCCTACTTTAATAACCCAAAGACTTGTTGATACACTGGAAGAAATGTGTTTACATTTCTCATATATGGATATGTCATATGTATATGTCTCAGGTACAAACTCTGAGAATATAAGTTGGTGCAATATTTGGGGGGGCGCAATTTGGGAATATCTATCGAAATGTTAAATAAACATCCCTTTCACCTAGCAATTCCACTTCTAGGATTTTATCCCAGGAGGGAAAGGATATGTATAGGAATCTTAACTGAAAAGTATGTTAAAGGGGAATAAAATACAGCTCTTAAAAATAAATAGAAAAGGGGCTCCTAGGTGGCTCAGTTGGTTAAGTATCAGACTCTTGGTTTTGGCTCTGGTTATGGTTTCAGGATCCTGGGATAAAGCCCGCGTCAGGGTCTACACTCAGCAAGGAGTCTGTTTGGTAGTCTCTCTCCCTTACCCTCTCCCTCCCACTCTCTCCCTCTCTCTCTCTCTCTCTCTCTCTCTCAAACCAAATCTTTAAATAAATAAAGATAACAATGGAAACATTCATATATAGTAACAGGGAAAAAACATTCACAATATATGATTAAGTAAGAAAAGCAAGTAATATTTGGTTTACCATGATCTAATTAATTTATAGAGGAAAGGACATGGGGGAACCTGAGTACCTTAGTGAGTTAGGCATCTGACTGTTGATTTCCGCTCAGTCATGATCTCAGGGTTGTAGGATTGAGCCCCATGTTGGTTGGTCTTGGCATGGAGCCTGCTTAAGATTCTCACTTTCCCTCTCCTGTCCCTGCTCGCCCCCACTTCTCTCCCTCTCTAAAAAAAGACGGAAGGAAAAGGGCATATACATATCAGTAAACATAAATTATATATGTATTTATTTCTTTTTTTAAAGTAACTAGAAGTACACATACCAAATCATTAACAGGTAGCTAATTTGGAAAAGTGGGATGGAGAGAGGAGTTGAAAAGGGTACTTATAATTTTTACTTTGTACATTTCTGTATTTAAAAAAAATTCTAACCATATGTATGTACTCCTTTTACAATAAAATAAGTATATTAAAAATAGTCTTCCTGAGACCAACTGCATAATGAGGCTAATTGGAAGCTATTGTACTCAGAAGCACCTCACCAAATTGCCTGGGAGACCAAAGAAATTCCTTTGGTGAATTCCTTGAATCCTGAGAGCCAGGAGCTGTTTGGTTGCAGCTTTACCAACTAATCTGTGTGACCCACTGTACTTGACTGCCTGCTGTTTTGCCTAGTTTCTGTTACTAAATTAACCTTAGCCAGTTGTAGATTATCGTGGTCTGCTGATTCATGGGATGGTGGTCATAGAGCTTGTAAAAACTATAGTCAAGCTCTTAATGCAGCTTTGAAAAAATATTAATCAGTAGAAAACCAGGCTTATTTTAACTGAGAATTCTATCTTCGTTGGTACAGTCATAAAACTAGTAGATAAAGATTAGATCTAATTCCTTTTTTGAATGGTCCCTTGTATATTTTTATTATACATCTTATATAAAAACAGTATAGAGATTACTGAAAAGTCAAAGAAGAGAAAATGATTTCCTTAAAAATCAGCTGTAACTGTATTTTTCTCTTTTAAATAGGTCGTTTAAATTATAAAATAAAGAGAACTACATTACAGGATCTCTAAAAAAGAGAATTGTGAGGGCATCCATAATGTGGCCACATAAACATAACATAATTTAATATGTGTTTCCTAATCTTTTTAGACATACAAATTCTACATATTTGTAATCAGAGGACATATTTTTGTCAACTTGCTTTCATGAAACACATCACAAGCAGTTTTCTATGTTTTTGTACAAGCTATATAATTTTTTAAGCTGCAAAATACTACATTAAGGTAGACATCCTTATTTTTCTAAACATTCTCAATGTATCTTAGACATTTAGGTTGCTCTGATTTTAAATTATCAGAAATAAAATACCACTAAATACCTGTGTGCTGATATTTTCAGGTTACTTCTTTAAATTTCCCAAAGTAGAATTACTGGGACAAAATTCAGTTTAAAATCATATGGGTCTTCTACACATTGCCAAACTTTCAAGAACTTTCATTTTATATTTCTTTGATAACTATAGAGATTGAAAGTGTTTTGAGATTTAATAGATCTAGTTCCCCTTTTGCAAACTGTTTGATGTCCTGTGCTCATTTATTTACTGTGGTTTTGGCCACTCTAGATTTTAGAATCTTATAGTACATTTATTGTATTTTCCAAAATATCACAGAAACACATTATAGGAACCAACTGTTATATGTATTGCTTTTCTTTTCTTTTTTTAAACTTTATCTATTTATTCATGAGACAGAGACACCAGCGGACTCCACACAGGGAGTCCGACGTGGGACTCGATCCGAGGTCTCCAGAATCAGGCCCTGGGCTGAAGGCAGCGCTAAACCGCTGAGCCACCTGGGCTGCCTTGTATTGCTTTTCTTTGTGAAGCAGCCATTCAGAAGGAACCTCAATACAAAAAAAAAAAAAAAAAAAAAAAAAGGCTCTTTTAACAATGAGAATATGTGAAATTAGAATGAAAATATAATTTCTTATAACTCCATGCTATTTAGGAATCTAATGCAGAGAAAATGTGTTACTTTTTTCTAACTGGTTTGTGATTTTTTACTCTCTTAAGGGTCTTCAGTGCGATGTTTTATTCAAAGTGTATTGGCTTAAGGTCTCACCTTTAGCAAACATGCTGGAAAACAACTGGTAAACCTGCCATGATACTCAAATCCAGCTGCTCAAATGCCACATTTCCAACAGAATCGTTGTTTTTGTTTAAATTGGCAGCTATTATTGTATTTTATTCCTGAGAGCATGCTGGGGATAAAAGTTCACTATTCACAAAATAAGTCTTGGAAGAAAATACTAGCACCGTTATTCTTATGTTAGATGACAAGCTCAGGCCTGTTTTGTTTATAGGGTATGTGTGTATCTCCAAACCAAGGAAGGGACAGGGAAGCAAGAAATTAAAGAGACTCAATTTTATTCTGGGCTCTGTCACTGACTGAATTTGTGATCTGGAGCTGTCACCTAACTTCTGGGAGCTTAGTTTCTGTCTCACTTCTCACAGGGGAAGGAAGGAAGGAGAGAAAATAGATCTAAAGTATATTATAACCATGTCAGGTTTTCACATACCTAATTCTCAGATCTGTAAAATCCTTAAATGTTGGAATTGTGTCTTCCCTATCTATAGCCCCTAGCACTGTGTCTATCACATTGTAAAACACTATCAATGAGAATGAATGAATTTATCCCATTTTACAAGTGAGGAAGATAAAGCTTTAACTAACCTGAAATCGTAATTTAGAAAGCAGCAGTTTCAAACCCAGGGCTATCTGGCTCCAAAACTCATGTTTTGATGAGACATACATAGGAAAGCACTTTTCAACATGCATTTATAATTTATGTCTGATACAAAGACTGATAGAGACGAAAAATAATATTATTGTTACCGAAAACTATTCCATGAGGAGGCAAGGCTGTTAAGATTAACCATTTCTCTCAAGGCCCTGTACTAAATAATTCCCACATTTCTCATCCTGTTCGTCTTAACAGAAGAACAATTACTTTAGAAAATACGACCGCATGAAGCAAAGGCCCACTCCAATCTCTGTGGTTACTTCTTTCGAGAAGTTTGGTAGTGTTTGAGAGAGCTCTTCAGTCTGTCTATTCATTACTGTGGACCTCAGTGGAATGGGGAAATACACAAAACTGAGGAGCCACTGGGATCCAGATTTCAAGATCTTACTAAGTAGCTTTATGGTTTGCTTTCTTAAAAAAAAAAAAAAAGTTTCCTCCCTTAATTCAAAAATCATGCAGGCACAATGCAAAGAAGTCAGCAAATTCCATATTTAAACGGCTGTCCAAGAAAGTACCAGAAAAATATTAGCTTTAGTTAAAGAGATAGTTCCTGAGTTATGATGCAAAACCATGTTCATTCCTTAGTTTCTCCAAGAAGGAGGAGACTAAGCTAACATCACAAAATGCTGTGACCGAGAGCTTTTTTTTTTTTTCAAGTTTTGATTATGCCTTCCCATAAAATCCCTCCTGCGCTTAGAAGCTCAACAGTTTTCTGTTCCGCTGTACTCACTCTGAATTCTGTTGGGGGAGGGCGACTTCCTAGGACTCAAGAATCTGCAGACACCAGGGAACTCCTAATGTTCCTGGGAAGTAGGGCTTTCCCCCCCAGAATGACCACATGCCTCCGCCACACTTCCCAGAATCTCCTAGAGGTGCACTCTGGGAAATGTAGTTCTGTTTTCATGCTAGCTGTTTAGTCCTACAAAATTATTATTTTTTCTTTTCTCTTTTGTTTTAATTTTTTTTTAATAGATTTATTTTTTATTGGTAGTCCTACAAACTTAATCACGGTTATAAGCATGTTTTTGCCACACTTCCCAGAATCCACCTAGAGATGCACTCTGGGAATTGTAATTTAATCCAGAGGCACGTGGCTCTCCACTCCAACTGCAAAGTTAACCGTAATTGTCAAAGGCATGATTTAAGATCTTCCAAATCTATTACCAGGAAATCTACAGACCCTGTCTTTGGAGTAGCAGTAGATTCACTTTCGAATAACAAAAATATAGTCATTAAATCCATCCCAGTATACAAAAGGCATATTTTGCAGGGGAGGAAAGGGGCAGGAATTTAGATAACTTTCATCCTTTCTGTATCTCTATTTCTGTCTCTGACTGCCCACTTTAGAATTAGCTCTAACATTTCATGCAATTCTGACCATTTAAAAGGACCTGGCTGTGTCTAAATGTGTGTTAGAATGTGTCGCTTGGTCAACCAGGGCAGGATTCCATGACTGGAAGCAGTCTCCTAGCAAAACTACTTTGGTTCTGCTCTCTTCTTACTATTAAAGTTGTTTGCTTATAGGAAAAGACATTTTTTAAGGCCTTTCATTCAACATGTATGTATGTATATAAGTATTAAAGATTTTATTCATTTATTTGGCAGAGAGAGAGCACAAGAAAGGGGGATCAGCAGGCAGAGGCAGAGAGGGAAGCAGGCTTCCCGCTGAGCAGGGAGCCTGAGCAGGACGATGAGATCATGACCTGAGCCAAAGGCAGAATTTAACCAGCTGAGCCACCCAGGTACCCCGATTCAACATGTATTTAATGGAACAGTTAATAAGCACTAGATATAGCAGGAGGAAAAACATGAAAATTTCTGTCTTCATGCAACTTACATGCTAAAGGAAGAAACAAGTAAATATACAATGTGTCTGTTTATAAGTGTTGAGGAGAAAATGAAGCAAGATAAGAGAGGATTTTGCTATTTTATATAGGATGGCCATATAAAAGGTTTGTTTGTAAAGGTGATAACTGAATAAAAACACTGAAGGAGTTGAGGAAGGAAGCCAAGAGGAAATCTATGAGAAGAGATTTGTAGACAGAAAGAATTAGCAGATACGTAGGTCCTGGGGAGGATGTGTAACTGGCAGGTCTGAGGAAAGCCTAAGACAAAGCATGATGATTAGAAATGAGGTCAAAGTGTAGCCAAGTATCAGATCACATAGGGCTTCACAAGTCTTACAATTCTTATAGAACCAATGTAATGCTTTTGATTTTTACTCTGAGAGGGATGAGATGTTATAGAAGGATTTGAACAGGAGAGTGAGACAATTTGACTTACATTTTAAAGGAATTACTACTGGAGTGTGGTGATTAGACTGTAGGGAATATGGGTTGTTAAATCCTGAATATCATTGTTAATATGTAACTTGGTTACATGGGTAGGAAGAACAGTAATTCTGATTGTTGACCAGCCATTTCTTTTGGACCTTTCCATTAACACATGAACCCAAGCATTTTATCAGATTGATTAATTTTTCTTATGGAAGCACAGAATATTCTGAGGGATACAAGATTATAAAGTCAATGAATTCCAAAGAGATGGGGAAACATGCTTAGAGAAAGTTAGGGCTCTAATGATTTCTTAAAAAATCAAAATAACTATATTTTTGAGCAATTAAGTGTTAGGTGCAATATAATACAAATAATGCTATGATCTGAATGTTTGTGTTCCCTCAAAATTCATACACTGAAATAATAATACCCAGTGTGATACTATTAGGAGGTGAGGCCTTTGGGAAGTGATTAGATCATAAGGGTGGAGCTCTCATGAATGAGTTTAATGCCCTTATAAAAGATGCCGCCCCCCCCCCCACACCAAAAAAAGGGATCCCTGGGTGGCTCAGCGGTTTAGTGCCTGCTTTTGGCCCAGGGCATGATCCTGGAGTCCCGGGATCGAGTCCTGCATCGGGCTTCTGGCATGGAGCCTGCTTCTCCCTCTGCCTGTGTCTCTGCCTCTCTCTCTCTCTCTCTCTCTCTCTCTCTCTCTCTCTCATAAATATATAAATTTTTTTTAAAAAATTAAAAAGATGCCCAAGAACACTCCCTTGTTCTTTTTACCATGTGAGGATTTTAGAGAAGTCAGCAGTCTGCAGCCTAGAGGAGGGCCTTCATCAGAACCCAACCATGCTGGTGCCTTGATCTTGGACTTCCAAAATGTAAGAAATAAATTTCTTTTGTTTATAAGCTTCCCAGTCTGTGGAATTTTGTTATAGCAGACCAAATGGACTAAGACAAATAGAGAAGATTAACTGGGCATTTACTGCAGCCCAGGTACCATACAAAGTGTTTCATACATTATCATTAACCATGTGAACATCCTATGAGAGATCTATTATTATTTACACTTTACACATGAAAAAAAAAAGGTTACAAAAGGAGAATAAGGAGTGAGTGCTGGTGTAAACAGAGGTTTGGAGGGTTTTTTGAGTGATGAAAATGTAAAATAGTTTGTGGTGATGGCTGCACAATTCTGTGAGCCTAAGAAATAAAGATCACTCAATGGAAATGCACACTTTAAATGGATAAGTTATATATTATTTGAATTATAGCACAATAAAGCTGTTAAAATATTCAATCAAACCATCAATTATGTTAAACAATCACAGTGCATGGTTAGTAAATACAACAAATATAATATAAATAACTATAACCTTCACAATGTTTTTAGGTCATGATAAGGTAAAAATTATTTTTCCTCCAACATGCTTAAGTTTAAATCAAAGACAATGTGTAACCACATAATAAGTTAATACCGTTTTAAGAGCAAAAATTGAGCCCTAAATGGTTGAATCCCAGTCTAGCTTTTTTCGTGGTGAAATTAACAATGTATTTATTTTTTTAAAGATTTATTTATTTGAAAGAGCACTTCCTCCCTAGCGCACCTGCATGGGAGGTGGGGGGAGGGGCAAAGGGAGAGGGAGAGAGAAAATCTGAAGCAGACTCAGTGCTGAGCTGAGAGCCTGAGGTGTGGCTCGATCTTACAACCCCCAAGATCATGACCTGAGCCAAAACCAAGAGTTGGATGCTTAACTAGCTGGCCACCCAGACACCCTGAAAGTAACGATGTATTTAAAGATGTGTGTTTATTAATTCACTGAACAGATATTTATTGAAAATCTGTCATATGCCAAGCATGCTAGAATTGAGGTTACAAGGATGAATAACATACCATCTCTGCCATCAAAAATTAATTATTCATATATATGTGTGTGTGTATGATGTGTGTGTATGAGAGAGAGAGCAAGTTAGCATGCAAGCATATGAGACAACGGCTCATTTAGTCAGTCTTTGGCCACTTAAGGGAATGGACAAGGATGAAATGTGTACCTGAAAAAAAAAAAAAAAGAAATGTGTACCTGAATAAACTTGGAGAGAAATTACTTCATTCTACTGGCAGGTTGTTTTTTTTTTTTTTTTTTAAGATTTTATTTATTTATTCATGAGACACATAGGCAGAGGGAGCAGCAGGCTCCCTCTGGGGAGCCTGATGCAGGACTCGATCCCAGGATCCTAGGACCAGGCCCTGAGCCAAAGGCAGACACTCAACAACTGAGCCACCCAGGTGCCTATCTGCTGGCAGGTTTATGATTAGATGGTGTCTCATTACATGTGGGACAAGAAAAATATTTTAGCAAATGGATGGGAAGGGGTTTGTGTGAGGGTCCCTTAAATAACTTTCAAAGAGCCACTTTGAAAGAGCCCTATCTGCATAGCCAGTGGTGCTTAAACATTGTGGGAGGTCCTTAACCTTTCTCTTCAGGAGCAAAGTACAAAAGGTTTCCTTCTCCTCTACCCTCCCAAATATCCAATGATGCTTGACACACCAGTGAATGGAACCAAGACCATACTCAGCTAAAAGAGAAGATAAAACAGAAAAATTATGGTATACTAAGTTAAAAATTAATTTGAGTGCATGATTGTGTTAACATAAGGCAGTCACTAGACTGACTGGGTTTCTATTTCCTGTTAATTGAACTCTTATTCTCTTTGCTTTTGCTTCTCAAGCCCCTTAATTACTTTTATTTTTTTTATTTAAATCAATTAATTAATGTATAATGTATTATTGATTTCCGAGATAGTGGTCAGTGATACACAAGTCTTAAACAACATCCAGTGCTCATTATATTACATGCCCTCCTTAATGTCCATCAGCCACCTACCCCAACCGCCCACCCCTCACCCCCCCCCAGTGATCCTCAGTTTGTTTCCTATGATTAAGAGTCTCTGATGGTTTGTCTCCCTCTCTGATTTTGTCTTGTTTTATTTTTTCCTCTCTTCCCCTATGATTCTCTGTTTTGTTTCTTAAATTCCATGTATGAGTGAGATCATGTGATAATTGTATTCCTCTGATTGACTTACTTCACTTAGCAAATACCCTCTAGTTCTATCCACATTGTTGCAAATGGCAAGATTTCAGTTTTTGATGGTTGAGTAGTATTCCGTTGTGTATATATACCACATCTTCTTTATCCACTCCTCTGTGGATGGACATCTGGACTCTTTCCATAGTTTGGCTATTGTGGACATTGCTGCTATAAACATTAACAACCCCCTTTTTTAAATGACTGTGAACAATTTCACTGTAATCACTAGAAGTTCCATCAGAAAATTGTCAGAAGTTAATAAAAATTACCAGAGTCAGGGCACCTGGGTGATTCAGTCAGTTAAGCACCTGCCTTCGGCTCAAGTCATGATCCCAGGATCCTGGGACAGAGCCCCACATTGGGCTCTCTGCTCAGCAGGAAGCCTATTTCTCCCTCTTCCTCTGCCTGCTGCTCTGTTTCTTGTGCTCCCTCTCCCTCTCTCTTTGTCAAATAAATAAA